AGAGAGAGAGAGAGAGAGAGAGAGAGGCCCACATATTGGTGCTACAGATGGCCTTGCTTTGCACCACTAAGGCCACCTTAGTGCTGCCAATTGGGTTGCTGAAGACTTCTCTTTGTAGCTTGGCGAAAACGAGGGCACTCCCACCAACTTAGTTGACTGTATGGAGTGGCCTCTCTCTCGTAGAAAAGAACAGGATGCAGAACATGGTAGAATGTCCCAACTCCAAGTAACCAGTTGCTGGTAGAGAGAATCCCAGATGGTTATTATCCCCTATATATATATATAAGCTCACTTCAATGGTTATTGGCAGCTATAGAAGTGGAAGCTGAGGTACAACAGAGAGAGAGGGAGAGATGGGTCGTCGAGGGCGAGCGCCCTGCTGCGATAAGGTGGGGCTGAACAAGGGTTCATGGTCGCTGGAAGAAGACATGAGACTGATAGCCTACATTGAGAAGCACGGCCACGGGAACTGGCGTGCTCTTCCCAAGCTTGCAGGTCTCCCCCTCCTTCCTGTTTGCCATGGATTCTTGACATCCTCTGTCGAGTTCGAATCTTTGTATGCGTAGCAGAAAATTTGATAGCGTCTGTGATCTTTGAAAGGTTTGCTGCGATGCGGTAAGAGCTGCCGGTTGAGGTGGATCAACTATCTTCGGCCGGACATCAAGCGTGGGAACTTCACCAAGGAGGAAGAGGATGCCATAATCGAGCTTCACAGGCTGCTAGGCAACAAGTAAGCTCGCTGCTCGATGTCGACCATCATCTAATCCTAGTTTCTTGTTGGTGACGATACCATCGCATGCGTGCTGCTGCTCAGGTGGTCGAAAATTGCGTCCTGCCTACCGGGAAGAACCGACAACGAGATCAAGAACATGTGGAACACGCACTTGAAGAAGCGATTGGCGTCCCGAGAGCGGAAATCGCTGGCGACGCAGAAACCAGAAGACTCGCAGAGCTCGTCTTCTTCGAGCGCCTCCCGCTCTTGCTCCGATCACGGAGAGAGCAAGAGCGATGAGGAGGGAAACGAGGACCCAAGTTTGTACTTCACCGATCTGTCCGTCGAAATGATCGAGGCTCCCATCGGGCCCGACATGGACATGTGGGGCGTGGCGGAGTACGACACTCACCAAGAAGAGGCGGCCGTGATCGTACCGGAATTCCTGAGCATGATGGAAGGTGGGGACTACAGCTCGCTCATTGTTAGCACAGGGGAGGAGGCCATGGAAGAGGAAGAGGAAGCCAAGGGAGAAGGCAAGAGCTCAGAGTGGGTGGAGTACTTGGAGAAGGAGCTCGGGTTGTGCGGAGCCAGCGAGGAGAACGACAGTATCAATCAAGAGAGCCTCATGAGGGATGCAGCCGAGCAGCAAATGGAGATGGAGGAGGAAGATCCAGTGTCCAGTTATTTCCACAAGGATCTGGTCTCCACCTGTCCCTTTGGATCCTGTTGACTGGAGAATGCCTCGATACACTACCTTAAGACTATGAGAGAGACAGAAAGCGTCTCAATGCATTTCCACATTGGGATCCGGTTGACTAGAGAATGCCTTCATACACTGTCTCAAGACTTTGAGAGAGAGTGTCTTATCGCATTGTCTTGAACTGGACTTACATGCAAGCAGTGATGTAAAAGTCCCAAACTAATGAACTAATTATGATTGTTACTGCAAAATGCTGTGGATTTCTTTGCTTGTTGATTCCAATTCTCTTTATTCAATAGCGATATTGCATCGATTTCCATCCAGTTTTTGATGATCGTGAGACATTCCAGCAAAGGAAAATGGTGTCACAGTATGACAACCAGTCGAATTACCTTAGTCGTCTTCCTCCTGGAAGCGGAGGTGCTTCCCCTCAGGCGCAGGCAGGCCCTTCAGCACCAACGCGCTCGGCGAGACAGCGCTTCTTCTCGCCACTTCCTCTTCTCCTTGGATCTCGTCGTCACTGTTGTAAACGAATCTTGTGTGCTTTCCTGCGAATTCGTCACCCAGCATTGACATCTTCTTCATACCCTCGCACAAGTCGCCCAACAATTCTTCGTCGTCCTCCTCCTCGTATTCTTCTTCGTCTTCGTCGACGTCTTCAAACAGTTCGTCGTCGTCACCATCCGAGTGGGCACTCGCATTGGCCTGGATGGACCAGATGGAGGAGTTGTCGTCCTCAGGGGACTTCTCCTGGAAGCTGCTTACGCTGCCGGATTGGTACGCTGGCGACGAAGTGACGGTGGAGATGCCCGACATTTCTGATTTCTCGGGCGAGTCGAACGTCAATGCCCGGTTGATCACGCATTCTTGAGGACCGAGGGGATCCTGCGGATTGGAAGCCACCACGACCTGAACCAGTCGGAACCAGAACAGAAGCGAATTGGATGAGGACGGAGATTTCCGGACCAAGAAAAGGGAGAATCTTGAAGGAAAAGTCTCACGATACCTTCCGATGATCTTCTTCGGAAAGAACGAAGGGTGTTGCGACCTCCATCGAGTCGTAGCCTTCTCCTCCTCCTGCCGAACAACTCAGACTGGGGATCTGCGGCGTGTTGGCTGGGGTCGGGGCGAGGATCTGCGCCGGATATATTGAAACGCCCAAGAGTGCAGGGAACAGACGCTGGCCGGAGGTGGGTCGGCCGACGAACTCCGCTTCTTCCTCGACCTTCTGCAGCAGCGTCCGCACCTGACCTCGCAGCACCTCCTCGCCCGACGCGGTGGTCCGCCCGGCCCGGCCCGGGTTCTTGGCCGCCGAGGACGAGGGTGTCTTCTCGACCGGGAGGCACCCGGTCGCGAGCCCCACGACGGGCGAGTCGTTGGTGATGTCGAGCAGCGCCGCGCGGGCCTCGCGATCCCCGCCGTTTCTTGATCTTGGATGCGACTCCTCCTGCTTGCTCTTCTCTGAGCCCAACAAAGCAAGCAAGCAGTCAAGCATATTAGTGGACACAACAGGAGCCAAGCAATCCCAAACCGATGAAGTTCCACTCACGGGCATTGGCGGCGGCCGCGGCCTGCGACCTTGTGATCCTTCTCGCGGATGACGGGGTTTCCATTTCCAAGAACAATAACAGAGGAAGACGATGACACCGCGTGATGAACAGAGGAACGATCAAGCCTCCAAGCTCTTCTTGATGATCTTAGAGATCAAGAAGAGGGGAAGCAGAAACAGAAAGCGTGTGTGTGTTATTGGAGTGAAAGGTCTATCGGAAGAGGCTTTTAATAGATTTGAATCGGGAGGGCCGCAACGGTATTATGACCGTTGCAGGGGAAGGAAAGGATACCTTCGTTCCTTTCTTTACTCGACCAGTACTAGCCGTTGCAGCGATGGGAAACGGCCGGGTCCAAATCATGGGCCGACCGGTCCGATCTGTCTCGTCCGGCCCGATCACGAGCCTACGCACATTCACGGCTACAATCTATAGCTCAGGGGTGACAACAGTAATGGCAGACAGCTTCATCATCACCAACGAATGCTCATCTTTATTCGTATTTACTCGAAATACAACTCAACTTTATTGCGGTGTAATTTCTATGATGTGACTCGAGAACCATACAGAAAGAATCAATGTATCCTATCTAAACACTGTGCGGGGAAGACATATGGACAAGAAGATGTCATCTATTTCGATGGTTGATCGTCGACGGCACTTGGCTTCCGGCTCCGTCGCCGGGCCCTCCGGACCTCCTTCGGTGGAAACTTGTTGTCACCCCATTCCCCGAATCTGCTGTGCTCCGAGGAGACGTAGTCGCAGTCGGGGAAGGTGACATTGCCATATCGATGCTGGTCGTAGCAGAAGGAGTAGATCATGTACCGCTCCCGGAACCGGCGCATGGCGGCGCGCTTCCTTGGCGTCAGGAGGGCGTAGTCGGCGGACATGAGCTCCTCCACGGCCTCGGCGCACCGGTCGGCGGAGTCCACTTGCTGGATGGGGTCGACGCGGCAGCCGCGGAGGACGAGGTCAGAGAACTCGGACACGTACGGCGCGTACTTGTAGTTGATCTTGATCCGGCCGTAGGAGGTGGCCCAGGAGGAGCCGTCCCAGATGGTGGCGTAGACCGACATCGGCTTCGACGGGAAGTCGCCGCCCATGGCGTCGCTCCGCACCACTTCTCTGATGGGGACGTCGTCGATGTAGAAGCTACGTCAACCAAGGAATGGATGACTTGCATGCATGGTTAAGGGCATTCTGGGTAAGGGGAAGAGGTGGAAGTTGCGTACATGATGTAGTCAGGGGTCCACAAGATGGAGTAGAGGTGAGGCTCCTCGGTGGGGTCGAAGGGGACGAGGTAGCGCTCCTCCCGGCCGCGGGTGGTGCTGCCATTGCCGTAGACATTGGTTTGGATCCTCCAGTCTTTCCCTCTCACGTTGCCCAAGAACTCAAAGTCCAGCTCGTCGTGCGTGTCGGGAAATACGTCGCCATTGGATGTCTGCGTTCGTTCAACGAGGAGCACAAAACAAACATGCAGCATCAGAACCAACCCAGCGGGCAGATGATTAAGCCATGCATGCATCCGTTGACTACAAGGAGACGGTGTTTGGTTCCAAGCTAAGCTAACAAAGTCATGTGCCTCCTCTACTCTTATCACCTCCTTTTGATGCATGCACCTTTGCTTAAGCATGTATTCTATTCCAGTTATAGGGTTCTTGAAGTAGTTGACTTGGAGTTCAATCGAACTATATATAAATGTGGATTGGATTCGAAGTCATCCATCATAATTTCAGCATAGTTAATAATGTCTCTCGATTCACAGAGAAAGATCAAAGAATTGTAGAGAAATATGCGATTTGCATTTGTATGCTACGAAAAGAAGAGATGATTCAGAGGAATTCTGTAAAAGAAAAGCGATGGCAGGTAAAACAAACAAAACAACCAAAGAAGAAGAAGAAGAATTGGATGCCGATGACCCACATAGAAGGCGACGACGACGCCAGCCGTGTAATCCTTGGGCAGCTTAATGGAGGCGCTGAAGAATCCATGCTCGTAAAGGTCCGAAGAGATAAAGCCGGAGCCTGAGAACCACATGCACCACTTGGTTACGCACTCACCACGTAAAAGAAAGAAGACAACGAAGGTGGCGACAAGGACGTCCCGTCCCCTACCGGAGTAACGGTTGAGGGTGAGACGAACGCTGCGGTCATCGGCAGAGCGGATGAGGTTGTCGTTGCCGAAGAGATGGGAGAAGCCCTCGCCGAAGGTTAACGTCGGCACATCAAAGGCTTCTGTCGCCGTCACGAGACCCAGCAGGACGAAGAGCACCATCGACGAGGCACCTGTAAGAGTCGCCGCCATGACGTTGTCCGCTAGCTTCCTCTCTCTTCACTCTATCGTCCTCAATTTCTGCTTCTCTACTTCTTCTTCTTCTTCTTCTTCTTCTTCTTCTTCTTCTTCACATATAAGGGGAGAAAGAAATCATTGAGTGGAAGGTGAAAGAGAGCCAGGGATGGGGCCAGTCGCTTGGCCACCAAATGTTTGTTTGGGTCATTGTGTGTGTGCCACCGCCACAAGCACATCCTCTTGTCTTAACCTTGGATGCCAATCGTTTCAAGCCACCCATGAGGTGTTTGATATTGTTCCCAGAGCATCTTCCCGGGCTTGTGAATGATTAGGCCACGCATGGCTGTGGTTGGGTTGGTTGAGCCACTTGTTGATGCATGGAGATAAGAAACACCCCAGAAAAGCACTTCATTGCGTGTGAGGAAAGTGACAGCAACCTACTACACCGTGAATCCTTTTGGCTCGACCATTGCATCACGCCACCTCGATCAATGGCGGTGGCTCGGCCAGCCAAGGATGAGCAGGGTGGGTGTCGATGAACATGATCCAGGTGGCTTGTCAACGAAGAAAGAGAACCTTCTTCCTCCAACTCCGAGTCTGACACCAGCGACAGCAGGCGTACTTCGCTTCCCCTTGTTGATATCAGGTGGCTAATCATTGCCATGGCTATTACAACATGAAGATGTAATCTTTGACGCAGAAAAAAGGATGAACAAGAAAAAGGAAAATAAATGAATATTTTAGACGCCTATCAACCACCGCCACCACCGAATTCCGTGAAGCAGCGGTGGGGACGCGAACTTACTTTGCCAAAAGGAAACCTTTCCTTTGTGCTCGTCTTCAACGCATGGGAATGGGATGAGCGCATGAAATCTAAATAAACATGATACATGATAGAGAAAGCAGGGCGACGCTGACCTTTCGAGTTGACCCAACTGGCACGTAACGCGTCATCCGCTGACGGGAAGAGACGCCGATGGGGTTTGAGTGGCTGTCACTTCGGTCACACGCGGACGTCCTACCGACCGAGACCGAGAGAGCGCAAATGACACTGCTTCGTTGAAGATAAATTATTATTATTAGTGTAGTACATACACATATAGGAGCTGTCCCACATGGAAGAGAAGGATGAGGAAGGAAGAACATTGGAATACGACGTAGAGGGAGCTTTCTTAGGCCTGTCAAATACCAAGGGATGCTTCTCCTTGGTTACTTGCTTTTTCTTGGTGAAGATGGGATGGGAAGAACAGTGGCTGTGGTGGAGGCTTTGATTAAGAACTAATGTGTTATTCCTCGATTGATTGCCTTTATGGTCAACTTTTTTAGTATACATACAGTGATTGGCTGACAATTACATGACAGTTTCCTATATATATATATATATATATATATAGAGAGAGAGAGAGAGAGAGAGAGAGAGAGTGGGTGAGAGACAAGCGAAGCACAAAAGAAAGCAACACACACCAAAGTGCGCAACATCTCACGCTCGCCACCTTGAAAAGGTTGATGGAAATAACAAATTATGTTCGATGTAGGATATCATTATTTCTTTCTACCAAAACAATAGCATTTATAACAAAAGACCTAATAAAAGTAAGAATTCCTAACAAAAAATAAAAATAAAACAGATGTAATAAATATTAAATTATGAAGAGTATTGTACCAAAATTCTTCAGAAAAGCTATGATGAAAATATTTCTCCAATTTGTCTTTATCTAATAATCGTTGTCCATAAGGTCTCTATATAATTGTGGGTTTTAAGAACAACAATTATATGTAAGAGTTAAAATGACATGTATTACAATTGCAATAATTTTTTTTTTTATCACAGTTAGGTGCAATTGAAACCCTTGTAGTGCAAAATATATTTATACGCAAAATATATATACTCGAGTTTCTTTTATCTTTTTTTTCTATCAAATCAAAGGGATCTCTTAATGGTGCCATTCTTTATATACCTATAAAATTATAGGTTATATACAGGGGACATTATATCCAAAGTTGATGAAATAAAAAAAATAATAAATTTAAACATAAACATCACAAAGCACATTAGAGAGTTCAACACTCTTATATTCTAATCAAGTAATATGCCTAACTAAATAAACTAAAATTAAAATGTAACTTGAGTATAACTCAAGTGTAACCCTAACGTAATACAAGTGTAAATAGGGGAATTATCCCTATAGCTATCTAAACTTCTCATAACATAATCCTAACATATTTATTATCATTTTATATGATTATTCTTAATTTTTGAGTTATTAATTATCGAAATATGAGATTCCTACATTGAATTTGTAATACAATATAAACCAAGTGTAATTTGAAGGTAACTCAAGTGTAAATATTTTTAATTATCTCTAAACATATTTAAATATATTTTCTAAAAACTATTATATTATTTTTTTAATTTTAAATTATTAATTAATAAAAAATATTATATTCATACATTGAATCTGTGACATAGTATAACTCGAGCATAATCTGAGTATAACTTGAGTGTATCTTAAGTGTAAATATCTTCGATTATTTCTAAACATACTTAAACTTTTTTTAAAATTATAATAACATATTTTTAATAGCCATTGTATTATTTTTTTCTAATTTTTTTCTCATTTTATGGTTTAATTGATAATATATGAAATTCCTATATTGAATCTATGATCTACACTAACTTGTGTGAAACTCGGGTTTGAATATCTCTAATTATCCTCAAATTTCTTCAAAACTATAATACCATATTCTAATATATTATATTAATTTTTATTTTTTTTAATTTTAGAGTCAATAAGTTGTCAAATAAAGGATTTTTTTTTCAATGTACATTAGTCCTGACTATTATTTTTTTTATTATTCAACTCATTAATTCTTTTTTATGACTATCATATTTTTTTTGAAGGCATTTAATCCTAACTTACCATACATATATCTAATATTTTTCAAGGTATTGGACGCTTAGTTGGATATCATTTATTTTAAATCATAGAACACAATATATAACAATGTTTTGGTATATTTGTTTACACCAATATATAATATCTATATACTTATCTCTTTATTTTCATACCCATTTATAGTGATCTCGTAAGTAAATTGAAATAATTGAAATAATTTAATTTCTCAATTACGTAAAGTTTTGAAAACACATTAGTAATGGTATCAAAATTTGAATTTATTTTAATATCTTATTTTTATGGATGGTGATGTGATATCGTCATTAACGAAAAGATCACATGTTCATAATTGGAGAGGAGATGAGATCATTAGAGAAGTGACCTAATTCTTGTTGTCGAAGAGATGTGATCACCATCACAGTTACTTATTTACTAAAAGATATCATTATTAGAGATGGAAGGATATTAACACTTATTTACTATAACCTTCGTAGATTAGTATCCCTTAAATTTTGATTTAAATCTAACCTAATTTTGGTTGGGATTTGACCCAAATTCTCTTCGAACGACCCGACCTGAATCAAATTGATTCAGATCGAGACATAGATCAGATTGAACCAGCTCTTGGGATGATTAGGTTTGAATCAGACTGATCAATTCTTATAAGGGTATTTTTAGATTTATAAATAAAAATAGATACCTTAGTAAAAAAATGATAAAACTTTATTATTAGATTTTGTTCAGTAAATTACTCAAATATTTTATTCAATCAAATAATATTAAATATAAAAATTAGATAACTCAGTTCAAATGGTTGGAACATTGCGAGTATTATCATCTTGGAGGTCAAATAGGAGCTTATATTTGAGTTGTTCGACTGTGCCGCCACCGGACCCAATCGAACCCTAAAACCACACTTTACGGTGGTCGAGACGTCAAGCTTCTCGTGCTCGCTCTCCAGAAGGCCGGCCGGCGAAGAATAAAGGATGGGAAAAGGAACCGATCTTTGGGATGACTCCGCTCTCATCAATGCTTTCGATCACGCCATGTCCACCTACAAGGTATATTTTATTCCGTTTCCTTCTTTTATCTTTGATCATTCGGGTGTTCCTTTTGTTCTCCTCCTTTCTTTCTCGCTTTGTCTTGAGTAAGGTTTCTCGATTGCTATTTCATTTGGGCTTTTGCGGTGTAATCTGGAAGGCCAGTTGATGTGGTTACGCCTCGACTAGGCGGCGGTAAATGTTGCTGTTAGGGTTTAATTCCGTGGATCTTCTGCAGTTCCCCCAATTGAAGATACACTGAGATGCTGCTATTAGGACTATATTCTGTTACCTTAAGAATTACCAGTTGCCGGGATGCTTGTTGGGGGTTTTTCTTCCCCTTCCTCTGCATGCTCCCTGGGGGGTTTTATTACCCTTAAATTGTTGCTTGCATGCTCTTAAAGCAATGTTTCTTGGTTTAAGGCCGTAGGGATTTAGTACGATGGGCAACTGTAGTTTGTCAATACAAAAAGAATAAATGTAATTAGTCTTAGATCTCTTGTGAACATGATAGATGTGAATTCTCTTGTGCAGAAGAGTCAAGCTGAACTTACATCAGAGGTACTGAAATCGCCTTAGCAAGAACATTTTGGTCTTGGTATCAGGGTAATGTAAAGAGTGTATGCTAGTTTTAGTTTATGTTTCTAACTATCATTTTCCTTCTTATGTTGTGCTACCTAATTGCTTCCTGGATCCATGTTATGCTTTATATGTTCTTTTTGCTGATTAATTGTCCTTGAATGATTTATTCCTATCATCAGAAAGAAATGATGTTGCAAAATTTCCCCGCACACTGAAAAATTAGGTCACTGTGGCATATGGCATCTTGAAAAGCTGCAGATGTTTCAAGTTTTTTGGTTTCCCTCTTGTTTTCTTCTTCAATATATCTTGTCTAAATCATGATATGATGATAATCAGACGTAGTTTGCATGTTCTACTGGAGTTATTTGATTGAGAATTTAAGAATTTAGTTCAAGAAAAGCTTGCCTGTTTCTAGTGACAATCTAAATCTGATGCTGCCGTTCTGCATTTTAATGTTTCAAGCAGCTTGGTGCTCTTGATTATGTGTTTATTATTAGAAGGAAGCTACTGTAGCATTCATTTTTCTGATAATTATGGCCTTCTGTCAGGCAATGCATAGGGAAAGCTATCCAGTCAATCCTCTTGAGGAAAAAACACTTACAAGTGAAAGTAATCAAGACAAGCCTGGGCATACTGAGATTTTGACAAGGTATTTATTTATTTGGATTTTTTGGTGTTTGATGGGTGGGGTGTTAACCTGCTTCCATTCAGATATTCAAAGAAGTGTGTGTGATTTTTCTCCTTAATATTAATAGGAATTTTCTAATCATGTCCTTTACAATACAAAATAAAAGTGTGTATCTAATTTCACTATCGTATCAGTGTCTCAGTACCATAGTAACATGGTACTTTTTTATCCCTTTAACTGTAAGCCTTATATGCGATCATGGAACTCCCATCATATTCTTTTTGACTCTTGTTCCTTTGAATTTTGATGTTGAGGACATTCTTTACATAGGACCCTGAAAATAGTGCTGAAACATGCCATTTTCAAGTATTTTAAGTTTTCCAATTAATTTATGCTGCAGTAAGTGTTCAAATTCAAAACACTGTCAAGGATCATTCCTGTTCTTAAATTTCTCTCCTACCTGTTTGCTTCCTGTTAAGGATCATTATGATGAACACTATTTTAAAGCATGTTAGGTGAATCTTGAAGCAATTTTTCTGCAGTCAAAAAAAGTTGGAACAGGTAGATTTTTTTTGTTTATGCACTTTCTTTCTATTATTTGTGGGCTTTGAAGTTCGTAGTACCATCTCTTCAATTTTATGTTTCTTTTGAAGGGAAATAGATGACCATGGTGAGAATAATGTGATGAAGGATGTAACAGAAACTAATATGCCTTCCTACAAGGATCTGACGTCTACTGAAGGGCTTCAGTCTCAAGAAGGCAGTCTAGGTGCAAATATATGCCCCACAGAGTCTAATCCATGCTTGTCAGATTTCCCTGTAGCTGCTATGGAGACTGATAAATATAATTATCAACAAAGTGTTGAGTACAATAATCTCCTTAAACAGTATTATGAACTCGAGGAGCAGAGGCAAAAGGTTCTCCAACAACTCCAGCAAGCAAATTATTGGAATTACCAAGATCCAGTTCAATCTGGCCAACATCAAGTAGAGCAAGTTCCAACCAATAATGTTTCTGATAGTTGTTCACAACCAATATGTTCCTTGTGCTCATGCCCTTCTTTAGCTCTTCCATCAATCACAGCATCTTCTTGTGCCATATGTGGCCCTTCATTTGGAGGCTATTATTGCTGGCCACAAAGCTGCTCTATGTCACTTCCTCATCAATTTTCAGGTTAACACTTCAGTTCTCTCACTGTTGCTATATACTTGTCTTCATAAATCTAGGTTTTCGTTGTGCTACATGGTTTCCTGCTATATGCCTCAGGTGGTCAAGGTCACATTCAAAGTGGTATATGTTCTGTTGGCGCATCATGCACAGGAAATCCTTCAAAGAAAACCACTCATATGGATGACCAAGCCGTCGGAATAACAGGTATGATTGCTGCAAAAGCATTAAGTTCACCGAAGAAATATCTGATATTGAGCATAAAGACTGCTCCCTTTGACATTACACGGTTGCTATGTGCACATCCCTAATGGGTTTTTGTTGAAAATTTATTGTTTCATTAAAATGTCAGTATACATGATTTACTTGAGATTTTGCCTCTTGATCCACACTAAGGATCCATTTTTTTGTGAAACTATCTTGGGCTTTGGTTAATTCATATACAAAACATGCACACAACTTTGACAATTTGTTGTGATAACTTTGGACTATTTTAATAAAGATGTAATTGAGTCCTCTCCTTTCCATCTTATCCTAGTACTAAATTTTATGCTTGTGGCATTGCACTGAAAAATGTTTTCATTACAAATGAGTGACATGTTTTTTTTTACAAATATTAGAACATGTTTCCACCTTGCAAAGTTCATTGACTATTATACTTGTCGAGAAACATGATGTCAAATTCTCATGCTTTTTAGTTTTTCTATGTAACAAGCAGATCTACAAAAGTGACAATGTTGCCTTACCAATATTAAATGAACACAGAGTCTCCTCCTACTTTAAAGTTTAAAGAACCATATCTCAAGTCCCTTTCTGCTCATTGTTCGACTGTTGCCTTGTGAATTAATAACCATGGTTGATGAAGAAGGATAGAAAGATGATTAAATAGGAAGGATCTCTACCTACATAACCCTCATTTTGTGTGCTCTCTCATGCAATGGACATAAATAATAAAGTGGTATAAATGGTATACCAAAATCCCAAGGTTCATCTTATATACAAAGAAGTAGCTGAGATGTAGCACCAGATTTGCAGCAAGGAATGTAGCTCTTGAATTGTCCTATACAGCACATCAACACAGTTATTCTGTCACACCACCTTGGTACTAGCATGTTATCTTATTCAGGACCTAATTGGCGGGAAGGAAAAGGAGTTGGCTTTTGGCCATTCATTGTGGGAGTGGTACGGGGTGGGTTCGAGGGGGAGGAGAGAGATGCAATGTTCCTGTTGCTTTCACCTAGTACTTGGGATGATTAAACAGACGGGTGGTGTTATTGGGCATGTTGTGACCTTATTTTTCAACTTAATGGGTTGGGCCTTTTGGGACATCATTTGACTTTTTTCTAGGCAACATGCATCAATATAATATATTGTACTGTGACCTCCAACTTGGGTGAATTATGCAAAATGATTGTCGATATCAAATTACTTTCCCAAAGTTCTCTCTTCTAGGATTCAGCTGTTATTAGAACCTTAAACCTTTTTTTTCCATCTTCCACCATCTCAAATTTGCGATGGGTATGCATTTTTAAGTACTGAATTAGACTGTTAACATTTTATTCTGCAGCCTGATACTTATTTTCTTGGAAATCATATTTGAAACTCGGTTCTTCTTATGACTGTAGAAAAGGAGAAGGGAAAGGAAGAAGAAATTTCAGATTGTGGTACCAACCAGGAAACTGATCTTGCTGTTGTCCTAAGTGCATGGTATTCTGCAGGATTCCACACTGGCAGGCAAGAGGATTTTAATTTCATTGACCAAACACTACAACTCTCAGTTTTCTTGTGGTGTTCACTGCTTACCTCGTTACCATCTGCCTAATCTTTCCATATATGCATATAAGTGCCGGTTCGGGATTTATTTTTACAAAAATATTATGGTTACATATTCTTTTATTTTTTTGTATACACCGTTGAGCAAACTAAATTTTGCTGGATATGTGTGTACTAGAACTCGCTTGCTTTATTACCCATATTTATCTTCTATTATCATATGGACTTTCTGCTAGTAGCACCTCAACTAACTACTACTACAACGTGATCTTATATATTGCTTGTGATGCAGGTACCTTTCTGAGCAATCCAGGAGAAAAGCTCCTCAATAGAAATCTTCGGCTTCCATGATGTCTTGGGTGGGCGATAACAGGTGCATGTTCTGTTCGGTGCTGGAAACTATTAATATCATGATTCCACATTCAAGAGAAGTTCGCTACATCTCGTTTTACTTGCATAGAATTTTGCTCGACGGTCATGCATAACTGTACCGTTAAGTTTCAGTTTCCGCTTGAGGTATGTATGGGGTTAATGTTCGTCGCTTCGGAATTGGCAGAATTCATGTAAATTCTTGATGTCTTTAGTGGATATGTGGAGTGTTTTTTATCATTATTATGTAGCCGAATCAGCAGTAGCATGAACTTTCTTGGCCATTTAAGAATTTTGTTACTAGCAGAACATGAATCATGCAGTGATTGATGATGAATTCTTGGAAATATTATTGCTTACATGGAGCCTTTGCAAATATGTTTTCAGGCATTTGTTTGCCAATCATCGATCTGTTGGTTTCTGCAGTGGGAGAGAGACTTCCCCAAAGAGCAAAATTGCACCGTACGAACATTCAAAAAACTGCAACAAATCTGGATGATTGAGGTTTCTCAGGAAGTGGGTTCGGTATAACGACGAGGCGGACCATTTGTCATGTCAATCCCTTTGGTTATTGCCTTGCGACCTCTACCGCGTGACATGGTTTTTGACGAACTCGAGCCTCGTTTACAGGCCATCGCTGCGTAGTCGGGATCAAGCCGACGAGCATCCCAATCAGACGGTCAGGAGCGTCGTATCCGTTGAGCTTATCCGCCACCTCTCGGTGGCTGCCCAACCACCACCTGTCACTGCAGATAGGCCTATCCCATCGCACCGTCATATGCCCAAACAAAAGAAGCGCGGACTAACGTTGCAGCAGTCGGAATCCACCTGTGTGTCATCGTTCCTCTTACGTGGGAAAGAGATGATTTCGTCTTCCCTTGTTCGCTCCTCCCCGCATAAATAAATTATTTTCTTCTTTTTAATTTCCTATATATATACGGCTCGCGAATCGAACCTTTGGATCGACCAATGAACGTGTGGCAGCCGCTCGCTATAAATCTCCTCCCCTCCAATTTAACCGACCGGTTCCCCACCTTTCTCTCTTCTCCGCTCCGCTGTGCTTGGGTTCGAAACGATTTTAGGGATTTCTCAAGAACTCGATGCGATTTCTTGATACGGGATTCGATCTTTCCGACGACTGATGAGTTCTTCCGTTGTTTCACTGAATTATTGGACGGCGACGTCGTCGGCCGTGAAGCTTTCCGCTCCCATTCGCACTACTGGATGGTTGGCGGAAGGTGGGGTTCCGGTTACTCCTGGTTCTTCTGTTGATTCGGGTTTTGGGGGCGGCATTTGGTTGCATTGTCCGGCTCGGTCGAGACGGGGGCGGGAGATCCGCGGCTCGAAGGCTAGGGCGATGGTGCAACCGGTTGGGAAGTGTTGGAGGGGCGTAATCCGAAGGGCGGTTCTTGCCTCCGATATGGGGGCAGAAGAGGAGGTCGGACGTTCTAGGTGTTTTCTTAGGGCTCGGAATGAAGAAGGTGCGACTTGTTATTGGTTTCCTTGTTTGTTTGTTGGATGCTATTCTTGCTTTTTTTCCAATATGGTTGCTTCAATTGATGACAAAACTTTAAAGAATGTTTGGTGTTAGTTTGGGAATACTGTGTGTGCTATCTTTGTCAAGAGTACGATTTCTCTGTGTTCTATTTAAATTGCCAAAACTTTAGTTAACACTCTAATCCCAATTTGCGCAAGTTGGTACGAAGCTTTGTCTACCTGTCTTGATTTGGCATGCATGATGGATAAACTTCCCAAAGCAAGAGTAAGTTCAAAATCTCCACAATTCTCTTTCAGTGTACTATAGATAACAATCAGTCCTTGGAGCGTCACATGTAGTAGCGCACTTGAGTTTACATCCTTGAGGGTTGGGAAAGTTAACCTCATGAATTTTGTTAAATTTCTAATTGACAAAAAGATGGCTGATTAAGTTGACACCTCTAGGTTGTTAAGTCATTGACATGACGAAAATTTGTCTCTGCTTTGTGGTCTTTCAAATTAAAAGAACATTAGCCCAACACCGTGCAGGCAATGTTTTGTCTTTCAAATTAAAAGAACATTACCACTGGGAACGGAGTTATTGCTTTTGTAAAAAAAAAAGAGGTCATGAAGTTTACTGTGACAACTTTATTTCATTTGTTATTATCTGCAGAGCTACTTTTTTGTATAAGCAAGGAAGTTGAAGCTGGAAACCTTTCTTCAGACATTGCTACAAAACTGGAAGAACTCTATTATAACTACCGTGATGCTGTAAGTTCAGCTCTGAAATACAGATATTCTCTGAAAGATAGGAGACATTCTTAGTAGAAATTGTTTTTGAAAATTTGAAATAATATGTAGGCCTAAAGAAGTTAAACAGATTTATGTGAGTGGATTATTGCTCTTGATCTTTTTTTTTTCTTTGTCTAGAGGAGGAATTTGTTTTGTACTATATTTTTAGTTAGTAGACTGGCCCCACATTGAAAGGGATACTACATGAAAAATCTGTATATATGTAACTTTCAGGTTATGCAAAGTGGAGTTCCTAATGCTACCGAGATCATACTATCCAATATGGCTGTTGCATTTGATCGTATTCTCTTGGATGTTGAGGTCTTGGCATTCACCTTTAATTGTTTTGTAGCTGTTTAGACTATGTTGTCAGTGTTCTCAATAAGTATCTCTGTATCACTTGCAGGATCCCTTTAGCTTTTGCCCTTATCATAAGGCAATACGAGAGCCTTTTGACTACTACATGTTTGGTCAAAATTATGTCCGACCATTGATAGATTTCAGGTGGTTTAAAAATCTGCACTTTTGCATATGCCTTGTTAAATTCTCTAGTTAGCTTATGAACACCTGCACAAAATTTTATCCTGATTGAGATCAGCTGAGCTGTGAGTCTATGATTGTAATGTGGGGAAAATATTGCTCGATTGTTTAACTGACAGTTATTTGTCATTATTTGCACATTCTCTTAATGAAATTAATTGAGGTTTTCTTGCAATTTGCATGTGCTTAAACTGAGCAATTAACATAGTTGAATCTTCTCAATTATCTCGACCTTTTATTTTTACCAGCAAGTATGTTTCTTGCCTGGAACTGAGTTGGCAAGAATACCAACATCAGAATAAGTTAGTGTTTGATGTTTTGTCATATGAAGCAACAGTTATCATATTATTGTGTTTTTATTCAATTTGAATAAGACTGGGAGGTTTCCATTTGTACAGATTTTAGAGCCAAAAAATAATCATTTTGTTGTAACACACATGACATACATCACCAGAGACTTGAGAATTCCATAAATCAAGTATTTAATTTTTAAGACTGAATTCTGGTGTTGAGAATTGATCTTTTTTCAGTAAATTGATGACATTTAATTCATTTTCTTTTTGTCCTCAGAACATCATTCATTGGCAACCTCTCCCTTTTCTTTGACATGGAAGAGAAACTTAAGAAGGTGCACGCTTATCATTGATGATTAATCATTATTGCTGATCAACTATTCGTTGCTAAAGTTTATGATGTACTCACTAGAATTTCCGGTTTGATTTTGTTTGAGGTATTACGTGCTATGACTAATAATGTAAGCTTTTGATATCAAATAATGTTTGTTCTTGGAAAAAATATTGTCTTAGAAAGGCTTCAGCTGTTTGTCGCTTCATTGCATCCAAATTTTATACAAGATTATATTGTTAATGCTTTCAGTAAATTAGGTTCAAGTTATGATTGTAATGATATTACTAACCTGTTTTATTTTATGCCCTGCAACTTCCTAAATTGAACTTCAATTGGTACTTTAAATGTGGCAATAGTTTTTATTACTAATCATTTATTGAAAAAGCTTTTACTGGGATTTGCATATTATGTATGTACACGTTACTTCCTGCTTGGTATTATAGTCATTTCATTCACCATAGCTGGTACCACTTGGTGAAATTGATGATGTGTGCTGTTAATATTGAGGTTGAAAATTACATAAATAACACTTGGCATCTTGTTACTATTATTGTTAGAATTGTCTAGTGATTTCCTTAATCTGGGATCGATTTTGCAAATGTTTCCTAGCATTGAGCTCTGTTAACACTTAACACTATTATTCATCATATCCATATGTTTCTATTAGTTGTTTAATATGCTTAAGATAGAGGACTCCAACTTTGTTACCATACTGTAGTATGTTTTCTCTATACTATGATATCCTGACAACATGTGCATCCACTGTGTTACGGGATGGCTGAACCCTAAACCACTCTTTTTGTGGCCAAGACCAAGCAAGACATTGGCTTGGATGACATCCATTGACTGCAATCTCAAATTGGAAAGAGAAGAGCTAATTTTAGATTAGTTTCTAGTTGGTTTCCTAGTTAGACTAAGATAAAATTTAAGATTTTCATTTTCTTGTGATTTTTTCACAGGTATTCATCTTCAATTTTCTAGTTAGTCCACGGATTTTTTGAAGTCCTTTTTAAGTTTATGTAGTGCCTAAGAGTTCAAATGTGTTGATGTTAGAAAAGTTGTTTACCTAATAAGAATCATAATTAGGAAGTTCCACAGTTTTATTTTTGTAGGAATTTGTGGGGTAACATTTTTTTCTGCAAAGCTTGTAAGACCTAAAAATCATGCTTGATATTGCTTATATTTTTTGGGCAACAAAGTAGTGGTAGATAAGTAGTGATTTCTCCTCTCTTGTTCCTCTTTGGGACGTGGATTATTCTCCTTTTGAAGAATGTTCCAATAGGAGGGCCATATCCTATCATGGTGGTTTTATCATGCTTAGCTCGTAGACATACATTTGTGTAATACTCCTATAAGCTTCATGTTAAATATACTATGAGACAGTTATTTGTTATTTCTTTTGTTATGTATTGCATAGGCATATAGTGACATGCAGTCCTTTGTCAATAATGGTTACATGCTTCATTTTAAATGTATTGTGCATCAATTATGTCATTTTTCCTTTTGTCCTTTTGGCTTTTGGACAAGTGCATGATAACATGATTCAAGATAGATGTGAAGGATTGATTTCATGAGTTGAAGGCCTTGTTCCTCCATTTATTTCTTTTAAATTCTTCCTAAAATTTTGGAATAACTATATCATCATCTTGCAACAACTTAGATCCTCGAGCTATTTGTGCTTTTAATTATATTTCTTCTCTGGTTGCTTGATATTGAGAATAAGAATATTTTGTATTATGTAGGGCCATAACATTGTTTTGTTCTCCAACCATCAGACAGAACCAGATCCAGCATTCATTTCATTGTTGCTTGAAAGAACAAATTCATATTTTATTGAGAAAATGGTAATAAGAGTTTCATTTTGTGCTGTATGTATTTCTGTGCTATTAAAGTGATGTGTTTTATACTTCAGGTTTTTGTGGCAGGAGATAGAGTTGTTACAGATCCACTTTGCAAGCCCTTTAGCATGGGAAGGTGCTTCGATTTCTTTTTTGATCCAAAATGCTGTAAATACTTGTAGTACAATTTTGCAGCTAATTTAAGGCACTTATACCAGTAGAAATGTGTTCTTGACTGCCAGAAATCTTATCTGTGTGTACTCAAAGAAACACATGCATGATATTCCTGAGCTTGTTGAAATGAAACGGAGAGCAAATACCCGAAGCCTAAAGGAAATGGCTTTGCTTTTGAGGTTTGCTTGTGTTTTTATGTTATTTATATAAAGCGAAGTCTTTTCTGTTTCTCGTTATTCTTATAAATGTTTTCAGAACTTGGACTTCTTTTGTTTGTTAGGCGTCTTTCTCTTTTATCAAAGAACATGACAAAGAATACTTTCATCTGTAAACACATGCATCCTAAGTTTGTGAGTGCTATGAAGATATCAGGTGAATAATTTAGGCAATAGAAGATATGATATGACATGGCCTAGAATTTGGAGTTTTGAGATCTCTATGAAAAGAATGATTTGAAAGATAATTGGCCTCCTTAATTCCCCATCAGACCTTTCTCTACCTTAATTAATAGAATCACACCTATATGAGGATATGACATGACTACTATTTATAGGCACTCAAAAGTTCATTTCCTCTGTCATCAAAACATCAATTGCTATGCATTTACGATTATCAATTTTATGACGGACAAAAATTAATCTTGTTCTAAAGGGTTTTTGCATGTGCTGAGGTCAGCATGGCTGTGTACATGCCAGAAGAAGTTGTTTAGGCGATGCTGATATAACAGTTGTCTTAAATGATAAATAGCCAAATTGATTCTGATAGATGCATTACCATTGACCCTAAAAAAAAAGCTTGCTCAATTATCAAGGACAATTTTTGGTTTTGCTTTGACAGATCTGATGCCTGTTTTCTTTACTGTTTCATCTACTATCTGATCAGATTTTGTGTTAAGGCAATGGTTTTTGCTAATTTGCATGTGCATTTGCACAATGGCTATACCTGCAATCTGTGGACCTCTTGAGTTCTCCTGAACGTGCGATGATTTCTTGACAACTTTAGCATTAAATGAGTTCTGTCATTGTCTTTTTTCTGTAAAAAATGAGTCATACATGTTGAGCATATAATGCGTTGTGGTTTATCGATATATCTTGCTTGGTAAATTTCATAATTTTGTCTATTTGTCTATCTTATAAAATCCAATTCACTGTATTTATTTTCTACTTGTATTTTCTATGTTCTAACTTAATATTATTAAATATAGGAGGGGTTCACAGGTAATATGGATTGCACCGAGCGGTGGTAGGGATAGGCCTGATCCACTTACAGGGCAGTGGCATCCAGTATGTTCTTTCAAATACAATTGTGCATCACCTATTTGATTTGTTTCATTTGTGATTGATTTCATTATATTTTAGCTTTCAAATACAAAACGTAATATTTCTTTTACTAAAACATAATATTTCATGCTGATAATTTATATTCATCATATTTTAATTACTTTTGCTATCAAGGCCAGGCCTTGGTACAATGGTAATGTTGATCTATTATGATATGAAAAATTAGGGTTTAAGTCACAAAAATAACCTCTCTAAATAGTAAGTTGCGTGCATTGACCCTACTCATATCCTGCATCGGCAGGAGCCTTGTTTACTGTTACATCCTTTTATATTTCTATCAATTTTAATATAATTTCTCTTTTATTAAAAGCACACATTAATTAATTATCCTTAATTTTTTTGAGAAGCCACTTACCAATTAGATATATAAAAAACTATGGTTCTTTATATTCATCTATCTTGTAATGCAAGTAATTTCTTGAACTCTGGTAATTGTGCACTCTTTATTTGTTCTAAAAGCTGTATCTATATCCTTCAACTATTATTGTGTGAGATTGACAGGCCATCGAGGTGTGGACCACGTGGAATCTCCTAGGATTAGCTTTAGGAGGAGGGCTATGTCAATACAAGGCACTGAGTCATACGAGCGATTCCACTTTGGCGACCTTGTTCAACTTGAGAGGTTTTTTTTTACACACAATATTTAGGAGCATGTGTAAAAAGTTTTAGGTGGCAACCTACTCCTAGAAATAAACCCCTAAGCATATGCTACAACAGATCAGTCATTATCATGTGGGTTCCAAGATATATTCCTATCGTATCCTACACTAGGCCAAAATCAGATCTCGGGTTATCTGGTTGTAATTGTGTTTTAGTTGGCCAATTGGACCAAGAAGTTACCCAGAAGAAAGTTGGGCATTGAAAATATCCATCTAATGCAGATCACAGTGTAAAAGGGTTCTTAGAAGATAGATAAATGACTTCAAAAGAAGAATCAAATGAAACACTTTTGTGTAGCATTTTCTTGTTGTTCTACACTAGAGGTTATCAGAAAACCATTATCCTTCTGTTGACTCATGGTTGTATTCATTTCCTTAATTGTCATTATGTTACTTGTACTGATAATATTGAGTGCAGGCGCCATTTGATGCATCTTCAGTGGACAATATGAGGAGGCTGGTGGACCATTCTGGTGTAGTAGGGCACATATATCCCCTAGCAATGCTGTGTTATGAGGTCATGCCTCCACCACCAGAGGTATTTACCTAGGAGTTGTGGTTTAGATTTACACACTATGTTGTGTTTCTTTATCATATGCTCTCTGTAGGTAGAAAAGCAAATTGGCGAGAGAAGAAAAATTTCTTTTCATGGAATTGGGTTATCGGTGGCTCCTGAAATGAACTACGATGAAATCACAGCTGGCTGTGAGAACCCTGAAATGGTCAGTGATAAAATTTTAACATTACTATCCAGATCATGAAGTACAGATGCTATTGTTGTTGTTATCTGTGCTGATGTGCTTGTTGTGATATTAAATCATTGATGCCATTAGGGATAATACTGGTTGATGCTTATGTTAATTTGTAGAATTGAATTGCCAATGTGAGCTAGATTTCTATTTAACAATTTCTGACTTTGCAATCTATATAGATTTGTCATGAAGAAGATCCATCAGGTGTAAATCAATGCAAATTAACTTCAACAATCGTAGGATGCAGGACACAGTTATAATTCATGTGCTACAATTTAAATTCTGAGGTACATTCAGAGAAAATTTTGGAGAAGATGAGCTATTTAAGGAATTATCAAGGAATTACTATAGTAGGAAGTAAATTGAATGGCCATAAGATAAGTGTACACATCCTTTTGGGGATTGTATCATGTTTGTTTAGTTAATTTTTTTTTAAAAGGAGATTTATTCTGCTGTCATTTGTGTGTTACCCATTTGTAGATACCATATGACTCCATATGACCGATGCTATGGTGACTATGCCTTGGACATGTCCGCCCTCAGCTCAAAGTTCTATTGTAACAAAAGATCTCCTTTTTATGTTGAAAAGATGTGCATCAACAGTTTATTTGATAGTATATTTGCACATATTCTGATAGGCATTTGTTGCAAATATAGGATATGCAAACAAAGAGTGGTATGGTGCATGAGACTCCTACCAATGACTGGTCTAGGGAGCATGGTATGCAGTACTGAATGGTACTGCCCGGTACGGGCGGTACGTACCGGTCCGACAGCATACCAGTACGTGGACCGCCTGGTACCGCTACAGTACTACAGTATTACACCGTAGTAGTACTACATTGCTACAGTAATAAAGAAAATATATAAAATTATTCGGTACACTAGGGTGTACCGCTCGGTATGCCCTGGTGTATCGCTCGGTACACCGGTACCGTACCGTACCGCGCCAACCTCGAAACACCAGTACAATACGATATTGCATACCTTGCTAGGGAGGCTTAAACTTTGTGCAGTCTTTCCCTTGTGAGCCTTGCAAGCAAAGTTATTTTCATGACTCAGATCCTTGAAATTAAAGTTGCAAAAGAGCAACATGACTCTGGCTCCAAATTTCACTATTTAAACACGGAATATGCTCAATAGAAGCGTGATGAAAGTTCATTTTGATATCATTGTGTTACATTTGGCAAATTTTGGCTATTGCTTATTTGCTTGGAAATTCGTACTTGTGAGTTATATCATCTGCTATGGTTGATATATTTTAGGCATGTTTAGATATTTCAACAACTTGGTTATCAAAGCAACTAATTATCATTTTGAAATTGTTCTTGTGAATTATGGTGCCTGTCTTGAGTGTATATCTAATGCCTTACTTTTTAGGCTTTTATAGCTTCTTAGTAGTTTGAGAAAAATGTGTATACTCTAATCCATAAAGCCACTTTAAATACTTTTTGGCAGCCTCCTTGATATGAATCTGGTCAAATATACATTTAATGCTAAAAATTTTCCTCTACTTGGATGTTCTTTGCATCAACTTATCACTTCTCAAATTGTTCAACTTCTTTTGTCCAAGACTATCTTGGAAAGGCTAATAGATTATTCTCATTAAGAAATATTATCATGCATACCTGTTAAGTCAGCTTTTTCTTTTGTGGTAAAATTTTCCTGATACTTTCTCATCGAGGTCTTTGTTGTTATTTATTAGCACAACTTTTTATTTTCTTGTTGGATTAGAATACAATAATAACCCATTGTATGAATGCAATGTCTCAATTGAAGATAAGCAGTCTATCAATCATTACCCATCATGTTGGTTCTCATGTCAGCATTTGGCTTTGCAGGCTAAGGAGGTTTTTTCTCAGGCTGTGTATGATTCCGTGATTAAGCAGTACAGTGTGCTTAAAGCTGCTATATATGGATGTCAAGGACTAAATGCATCAAACTCCGTTGTGTCACTTTCACAACCATGGTTTTGAATCTCTCTTTCGGAGGTTTTCTTGCTTAAAATTGTCGTAACTACAGGTACATGACCTTGGACAAATTTAGGAGTCGTTTTGTTTATCTTTTGATAAATTTATTTGAATCTGCATGTCATAAGCACTTGTAGAATTTTCACATTCAGGCTTTTCATGACATTTATGAGAGGCTTGGTATGTATTGATCACTTGAGCATGTAGTAATCCAATTTGATTCTTCAACTTGCCATACAACAGTTAAATATTTCTCTCTCAATGTGTTAACTACAATTAGTGGGGACCTGTTCTTTCCTAGGATCATATAAAGGTTCAAATTCGGGCTGGGATATGTTTATTTAAAGTAGAGGAATTAATGGTGATTTGTGAAAAGTGAAAACCAATTGCCACAAACTATCCAGACAAATTGATCACGAGGATAGAGATTGGAGACAAGTGATGTGCTAAGAGCCATGAGCAGAGAACATATAAATAGAACCATAGATGATAGCTATACTGTTTTACATCGGCCATGATCATAGTGACATGATGCTTTCCTGATTTTAATGGTGTATTGTTATTTATAACCATGTGACTTGAAAAATGTTTTAGGACTTGCAAAGTGGAGGATTTTTTTTTTCTTTGCCATCATGAATTGGCGTTGGCTAAGTAGTTAAATAGTTGAGGTACATTTTCATATTTTATGCTAGCAAAAATCTATGCACTTTTAGATTTTGAAATTAGCTACTGGGAAGATATGTTAACTAATTTAAGCTGGAGTTTCTTGTTCAATATTGTGACCTGAATAAATTTACGCTGGAAAAAGAACTTAATCAAGTTGTTGAGTCTCGACTGCTACATGTAAATTTTCTTGGCTATTTAAAGTCTGTTTAGAGTTTTATAACCACATTAAGTTTGAAGCAATTACATTTTTCTACTTCTTTCCACTCTCACTTTGTACATCTCGTGTTTCTATGATCAGGACAAATCCTATACATATATCATACATCAGTAACATCCAAACAAATGTTCGTGCTACCTTCAACTGGTTTTCTTTTTTCCTGTTTATTTAAAATGACCGAAAAGACACAATATAGAAGAGCAACAACAAGAATAGACACTATGTATCATTCGGGAACAGTGGTTTCTAACAGCATGATTTTACAACCTAGCATACATCATTTGAGACTCTGGGTATCTACTCTTGTGGATTCCATGAAATGGTGGTTCTTTTATGACATTCTGCTTGTTGATGAATTCATTAATTTCTATCGACATTTTGTGACATTCTTGGAGACTAATTCATAGTAATGTTTCTTCTTTTGATCAGCAGATCCATTTCCCATCCTAAATATTTGCTCTAATTCCACTGGCGGCCTTGCAGCTGATTAACCCATCGATAGCGTAGCACTGACCTGCATATGAACATTCTGCAGCCTTTTGGGCGTGGGTGCACAAAATTACCTACCGACGCTCAAGGTAAAACGCTACTTGCATCGACTCAACTCATCGCTAACTTACTCTTCCACATGCGTAGGGGGGCTGCTACGAGGAGGCTAGTAGTAGTGCATCAACGAGGGAGGATTCAGCTTTACAAAAACTGCTGCAGTTCAAGTCTTTATGAGCATTCAAACATCTAACAAATTGTATGAAGACAAACCATTTTTCTGTACAAATATATTTCGTGTATCCCCGTGTATCAGATATGACATTCTTTGCTTCTTGGGTCCAAGTGTAATAGTTTTGTTCCGATACAGCCCAGGTTTTTGTTACACGTTATGCAACTCGAGTTTGCTGATTTGGATTACGGCATTCAGACTTACGACTGTTGCGATCATTAATTTATTTGTCAGAGTAGGTATTACAAAGATCATTCTGACGTTTCAAATAGATCCTATTATGAGTGATAAATTAACATGAGATTTTTCTGTGTGTCCTAGCACTCTTTCATATGTTTTTTTTTTATTTAAAGTGGATTTTCACACTTAGATTAGATCTATGTGTAATAATATACTAATCAACTTAGATGTCTCATCAATTTATCGAATATATTAAATCAAAAAAGAATGTTCGATCATTAAAAAATAAATATTTAAAAAAAATGGGGATGGCTCTTATTATTATGCTAATTCTAAATGATTAATGGTCGCTTCTTCTTTATTTAATCCTTATCGTGGTTGATGTATGATTATAACATTCCTGTCATCACCCTTTATAATTAGTTAGCAAAGCTTTATTATACATGACGTAATGCTTTAAGCATTAAAATATAATCTTTAATATTTTCTAGATATCAGCCTTTTAAAACTCGTTAAGGTTCCTAATTCTTTAACTGCTATAAATCTTGACGACGACAGTACGCTCATTGTGATATTACAAATGCTAACGCACACTACATTCGGCCCCACCCACGAAGACCACGGCGGCCCCACCCAATTTTTAGTAGCGAAGCGTCGTATACTTGTCCCATGCTGTGTGATACGTATCTTGGTACGAATAACAAGAGTCCAAAAGACCTTAAAGCGACTTCCCCTCGCCTCTCTCTCTCTCTCTCTCTCTCTCTCTCTCTCGCTCTCGTCTCTCTGCGCTAGTTTTCTCCACAAAATAACCTTCATCTTCCCACTCTTTATCCTCCTCCGCTTCTCCCCTTCTTCGTTCACTTCCCTCAACGGAGATCGACGAACGAGATTGCCCGACGAGCTTTTGCGCCCGATTTCTGGTTCCTTATTTCGCTTCTTGTTCCAAATAGGCTGACGGAGTGTTCTCTTCCATGTGAGTACTACATCACAGTCCTCGATCGAACGGTTTTGATGTGATTTCCAAGAGTATCCTTCTTTTCAACCGGAGAAATCAATTCTTCTGGAGTTAGTTTTTTTCGTGGTGATTACTTCTCAGGATTTGATTTGTACGCCATTTTCTCAGTGTTTCGGGCGAGTTAGGGTGTTGGAGCGAGATCTGAACCCAGATCGAGTGCTTTGGGATGTTGATCTTTGAAATTTGGTGAGTAATTTGCGGAATTTTTTGCTCTCTAGAACGGCTTGAGAGAGAAATAAAATGACTTGAGAGCGAGATACAGAGAGAAACAACGAAAGAAAAACTAGGGCGTCAGTGGCTAAAGGTAGAAGGATACGTGTTGGACAATGGGAGGCCGCGAGGCAGACACCAAGGGACCGAGAACATCAGTTGCGCTGGTACCGTGTTCTGTTCTTACAATTGCTAAATGGGTTCGATTAGATGGTTCAGTTTGCATCTAAAGTGAAGAAGTTCTGCTCAGGAGCATCCGCCGGCAACAAGCTCTAGCCCCAGTGCAGCAGTCTATCCGGAATGGTCTGGATTTCAGGTGATAATTAGGAATTTTCTTGTCTCAGAAAGACTCGTCTTTTGATGTCACCATGACCTAGTAATTTTTCGTGTTACTCAAATAGGCATACCCGTCCATTCCTCCACATGGCTTCTTCCATTCACCAGTGGTATCAAGCCCTCAGGCTCATCCATACATGTGGGGAGCACAGGTACTCTTTTGTCTATTCTTTACCTTTTTCCTTTAAGCTGGTTGGTTGTGTTTGTCACAATCTATAGGAAGCTCTTGAATGCAGTAAAGTTAATGTGATTTGCAATTTGTGTTGGTTGCGAATGAGGCTAGATCTATAATGGGAGAGAGGATAAGGCATGGCATGTTAAGAAAAGCTCATTGAGGCAACATTGTTGCATGGGTAGTTATGCACTGTCTAGCTTGGAGGTTGCTTATATGCTCCACTCTGGTTCAGAGAAGTGACGATGAAAATCCCATTACATAGCTTTTTTTCTTTTCTAGTTGTGCCGATCCTCTCATCATCATTTGTCTATGTGCTTAAAGGTATTGAAGTGAATGTTACATAAGATAATGTGTGACAATTTGTTTGTGGTTTTGCTGTATATAGCGATCTCTTTCACCTTTTCATCTGTCTTCTTTTTTTGCATGATTAGTTGGATTTTGTCATGTTAGCCTATGGGTAGTCTGAGTGTAAATTTTAAACACCTAAAATAAAAAAAGGATGAGTCCAATGCATAAGGCTCCTACCAATTTGTGGAGGGGCTTACCCCTACTAATAAAGGATCTTCTTCCATTACTCAAACTTTGTTCGCCCAGGTTGCAATAGAGAAACTTTATTGTTGTACCAAGGCTTTAAGCACCTAAAATGTAAAGGAAAAAAAAAAGGAGTGAGTGAATATGATGGATATGGTGACAATTTCAAATGGAAGTCAAGTGGGCTTCACTTTTTTATGTATCTCAATTATGAATTTATGATACACTAATTAAATATATTTATGATTATCCTTTCCTCTGTACAGCACCTTTTGCCGCCTTATGGGACTCCACCACCTCCATATGTTATGTATCCTCATGGAATATATACACAGCCATCTGTGCCACCTGTACGTATTGTTGGAATACAACTAAACCAAGATTTCTTTCTTTTAATATACCTAATATGTTTTCTCCAAAGCAACCACTAGTTACTTGTTCCACTTGTTAAACTGTGGGCAGGGTTCACAACCATTTAGTCCTTATGCTATGACCTACCCTAATGGCAGTGCTGAAACTTGTGTAAGTTGCCTGCTAACCCAAACTATCAAGTTAGTTATAATTCAACAGTTACTACAGGGGTAGTGAAATCATGTGCCATGTTCTTCTGCAAATCATAGAAGAGTGTGCCTGCAATCACTGAAGGAGATATTAAATCATCCGAGGGTAAGGAAAGGAATTCTATTCAAAGGTTAAAAGGAAGTCTTGGAAGTTTGAACATAATAGCAGGAAAGAACAGCAATGAGCCAGATAAAACTTCAGTTGCAGGTGACAGAGTCTTGTCGCAAAGGTAGATATATGTTAGCCTGGTTATTTTAATTGTTATCTTTGTGCTCTGATTTCATCGTGTATTCTAAGCATTTTGTTTGGAATATTTTTAATGTAAATCTATTGTTTCCATCAGTGATAGTGGAAGTGATGATTCAAGCGAAGGAAGTGATGCAAAATCTGAGGACGTGAGCCATTCTTCCTGTTTTGTTTGCTGATTGTTTTTTTTTTAATAGAATACAAGTTCTACACCATGTAACAAAAACACGTGGTTATATTGGAAATTATATGGTTAACAGTGCTGTGTCTCCCGCATGTAGTTGCATGTCAAATCTTACTAAAAATTACTGTTGTGTTGGCATCACGACAACATACTATCTCAGAGCACTGAACTACAACACCAGAATGCCAAAAGGTGTCCGAAATAGTTACAACTTGAAGAAAGAGTAGTATTAAACAATATTTTTTATATGTTTTGAATAGTCAAACTTAATATCAGTGCAGTAAACTTCAAAAAATTTGACTGGGAAAAAAGAAATATCATTTTAAGGAACTGGTGTTGCAGTTATGATTTGTCATTTTCTTAGAGGAAGAATATATCTTTAAAATTTTTCTAATGACAATTTTAGCATTTGCTTTATCATCAGCTACTTTGAAATAAGGCCATAATGGGTCAATAAGATGTAGTTCTAATATAATTAATTTTTGTATCATAAGAGAGAAGGCCAAACAGATAAACATCAACTTGCCATGATGTAAAAATCTAATGATGTGGTGGCCTAGGAGTAAATGTACTTGCTTTGGTTGAGGATCTACCATTTTTAGCAATAGATCAGAAAATACAACCTTTTGAGGCAAGCCCCATATTGTGAGGATATTTTGATTAATCTATCTTGTTAAAATCTGATGGTTGACTATCTTCTTTTTTTAATTTTCTTTTCGAGTTCTCAATTTTTATTTCATGAACTGCCAAGTATGTTCTCATACATGCATTAAATATTGGGATGATATATGTGCATATGTGTTATCTTTCTTGTGGGTTGACAAAAACAGCTTTTACATGTAAAGTTTGTGCTCCATACATCGTCATCGGTAAAATGAACTTTTTAGTGATTAAGTATTAATGTACAATAAAATTGTGTAGGACTTGGAACAAAAAACGAGAGGCAAACAGGAGCTTCTGGATGGTAGGCATTTCAAAATTTGTACCTAGTTAATTTGATAAACTCTTTCCCATGGAACTTTGTCCATGTGTTATTGCAGAGATATCCAGAAATGGCACAAATGGTGTGATCACTGCACCAACATGGGCAACATCACATCAGACAATGCCGATTATGCATATGCTACCAGCTGGAGTACCTGGAGTGGTTGCTGGTCCCACCACAAACTTGAGTATAGGGATGGATTACTGGGTTTCTCCAACATCTGCCATTCCTCCAGAGCATGGGAAGGTCCCTGCAGCAGCAGCTACAGGAGCCATGATTTCCGGTGCACTTGTTGGGGCCACTGAGAAGGTTCCATCAGAGATTTGGCAACAGGTTTTTTCTCAGCTTTAGTGTTAGTTGTCTTATTTTTTTGCATTAATCATCAATTCGTTATCCAAGAGGTTACTTACTCGATGATCAACATCTGTTTTGTTGTTCATGAAACAGTATATGCCATGAGTCTTCATAGTTTGTTATGACTTTATAATGGAGATTGGATACTACCAACCAGAACTTTCTTGCTGGCTGTGAAGTAAATGTTTTTCCATCTGGCCATAATCACTATAACAATTCCAAAGTAGTCTTTATTTTTATAAAATAGAAATGGTGCCTTGTTCCCTTTCAGTGTATCTTGAGCAATTTGCAGCTTTTTGTTACTAATTTGTTGCTTTGGTGATTTCTATTTCCTCTCCTATATTTGCTGCAACTTACTAGCCTTTGTGATCTGGAAATGGCTTCTCGATGTTTGTGTTATCGTATTAATGTTTGGGTCTTTTATGAAGTCAGGATGAAAGAGAACTCAAAAGGCAGAGGAGAAAGCAGTCAAACAGGGAATCCGCACGTCGGTCGAGATTGCGCAAGCAGGTATAACTCATCTAGAGAACATGGAAATCCTTGAATGAACTTTTGACGATGGTTCTCATTGGTTTTGAGATGCTACTTCCAGGCAGAGTATGAAGAATTGGCTCAGCGTGTTGAGGCTCTAAGAGATGAGAATGCTGCTCTTCAAGCAGAAGTAGAGCAGATCAAGAAAGAATACGATGCACTTGTTGCATTAAATGCCACTCTGAAGGTAATAAAGTACATCTTGATTGGGAAGCTGTTGTTCTGCCTGCAATATCATGCTGCAGAAATGATAGGGACAGTTTTGCAGGAGAGAACTGGGGAAACAACAAAAGAAAAAGAAGATTTGATAATCAAGGAGAGAAGCCATCATGCTGATGACAACGTCCAGAGGAACATGGATTCTGATCCACCAACGGGGCCATCAGAAAATAATCAGATTGATCAATAAAACAGCAACTTCTACAGTAATTTCCTCAAGTCTAAGCCTGACTAGATCATGACAGTGCCCTACCTCCTAATAGATTGACATGAAAAATTGATGCAGTTGCTTATTTCTGGGTACCACATTGTATATACTGACATTTCAGCATGGTCCCTTTGGTGTTTTTGTCTTGACTCATCTTTTAACAGTCAAGCCAAGCAGCGGGTATAATGCTGGAATTAGTGCTCATTATTTAGAGCAACACCAGGTACTTCAATTCTAACTGTTAGAGATGGTTATTATTGACTGATATGTAACTGGAGGATATTGTTAATGTGTCTCTCTACAGCAGATATGTCATAGAGTTAAAGATCTATGTATTGTCCTTATTGTTGACAAGTATGAAACAGTCTGTACTGACAGTAACCTAATACCTATGTTACAGGCTTTTATACCTTGTACTCTCTCTCTCTCTCTCTCTCTCTCTCTCTCTCTCTCTCTGTATGCATGGGCAAACAAGCTCAGCCAGCATTCAGCTGCTACTCTTTAAGCTGCAAATCTGTTTCTGCAAGTGTTAAAGCTTAAGCTCTTAGGATTATTGATTACTAAGTCAAAATCTTTATTATGGTATCTGTTTTTTTTTTTTTTTAATTTCATCATGTGTTTAATCAATACTTGTGCAATGCCCTTTCTCCTTAATTAGTTTGCTCCTAAGAGAGGAATTTGTATATTGGCGAGGTTTCATCTCTAGGTCTCCAAGTTATTATTTGTTATTGGTTTCCATTTAATCTCTGCTACTAGTTTTGTTTCATCAATGTCGACCAAGAACTTGAAGCTGAAATATTTGGGTCAACAGGAAACTTGTTCTACACATGCTGTTAATTCTGAGGAGCAACCTACATCTTTAGGAGGATGAATGCAGTTCCTTCTAAAGCATCTTCCATAAGACTCTGCAGCTGCTGTGCCCACACAATTACTGCCAAATGTCGACTGAAAGCAATGTCTTGCACCAAAGAACATTGTTTCGACCAATCTGGTATGGTCTTTTTCTTTTCTTCCATAGCAAATCATGGACTAATTTCCACCTTGCATGATGAACATTATCTTTTGGACTCCCCAACCCCTCATTCCCTCATCTCCAACTGGCCATGCTTTTTGTGCCATGTGGCATGACCATATCTTGAGTCATGAGATGGCCACCAAGCAATCTCCATGCATCGTAACCCTCAAAAACACCTAGTTTGCAGGGTTCATAAACCAAGAGAAGATTTTAAATGCATGTAAATTCCTTCTTTTTTTATTTTTTAATTTCACTGTCAGATGAAGCTAGAAGACAACCTTCACATAGGAAACCCAAACTCCCACCTCAATAAGCTCCCCAGTTTTTGTCCATCACTAGGACAAATGACACCTCTGAAATCCATCACAAAATCTCAGGCCATACATTTTTCTTGAATTGTTATTGGAAATATTAAGATTTCATAGGAAACCAACTTTCAGTTTCTCATGGTCTGCCCCTTGAAATCATCAAGAGTAGAGGAAGTCAGACCACACTTTCTCTTTTATCTTCATGCTCTCTCTCTCTCGACTTCACCTCCCAATTTCTTTCCTCAAAAAACCTTGGGAGGAAAGAGCAAAGGCTCGATTCAGCTGCAGCTGAGCTCATAGGGAATGGCAACCTGTGCAGTCTATACCACTCCATCCCTCCACTCATGTTCTATCACCAGCCCAGCAAAGACTTCATTGGGCTTCCACCAAAGGCAGGTCATCTTCTTCACTAGCAGGAGAATTACCAAGAGAGGAGGGAGGAGTACCTCAGAGGTCACGTGCTCTGCTGAGGCTAAGACGGTGGTGATAGGGCTGGCAGCAGACTCGGGCTGCGGGAAGAGCACCTTCATGAGGAGGCTGACGAGTGTGTTCGGAGGTGCAGCTGAGCCACCCAAGGGAGGAAACCCAGACTCCAACACATTGATCAGTGACACCACCACTGTCATATGCCTGGATGACTACCACTCCTTGGACAGAACCGGGAGGAAGGAGAAGGGTGTCACTGCTCTGGACCCGAGGGCCAACAACTTCGACCTCATGTATGAGCAGGTGAAGGCTCTCAAGGATGGAGTTGCCGTTGACAAGCCCATCTACAACCATGTCACCGGCTTGTTGGACCCCCCTGAGCTCATCCGGCCACCCAAGATTCTGGTCATCGAAGGTCTGCACCCCATGTGAGTTCTCCTCTATGATTCTTTCTGCAGCTTTAGTGTCAGTTTTGCGTTCTATCCATCTCTGTCATGTAGCAACCGATCTGATGATTATTCTTTCACCTTCCATAGGTTTGATCCCCGTGTGAGGGAACTGTTGGACTTCAGCATCTACTTGGACATCAGCGATGAGGTCAAATTCGCATGGAAGATTCAAGTCAGCCACTGTATCCTCATCCAAGTCCATAATCATGTCGATAATACTAGTGAATTGCTCTCTCAATCCACTCTGTCTTTTGAATCGCAGAGAGACATGGCGGAACGCGGGCACAGTCTCGAGAGCATCAAAGCCAGCATCGAAGCTCGAAAGCCCGACTTCGATGCATACATCGGTACCTCCGTTTTCCATAGACGAATCGTTCATTTGTCAGCTGACTTCCGCTCACCGATCACTCGTTCGACTTGGTGTTCTTGGCAGACCCGCAGAAGCAGCACGCCGATGCCGTCGTCGAGGTTCTCCCGACGCAGTTGATTCCCGACGACAACGAAGGCAAGGTGTTGCGGGTGAGGTTGATCATGAAGGAAGGGTTGAAGCACTTCAGCCCGGTCTACCTGTTCGACGAAGGCTCCACCATCTCTTGGATCCCATGCGGGAGGAAGCTCACCTGCTCGTACCCTGGCATCAAGTTCGCTTACGCCCCGGACACCTACTACTCCAATGAGGTAAACCCCCATCTCCCTCTCTCGCTCTCCACTCGTCATCTCATCTTCATGGTTCTTGCGCAGGTCTCGGTGTTGGAGATGGACGGACAATTCGACAGGTTAGATGAGCTGATCTATGTGGAGAGCCATTTGAGCAACCTCTCCACCAAGTTCTATGGGGAGGTGACGCAGCAGATGCTGAAGCACTCCGACTTCCCCGGCAGCAACAACGGGACCGGTCTGTTTCAGACGATCGTCGGGTTGAAGATCAGGGATTTATTCGAGCAGATTGTTGCCGAGAGGGCAGCTGCTGTTGCTGAGGCAGCCAAAGTCTGAGACTGCACTACTCCCTTACCAAAGCAGTCATCGTCTTCTTCCGTGCCTCTTTGCATGTTTATTCTCCTACACTTGTACGCACTCATGCGATGATTTTACTTGGAATAGCAACGCAATGCAGGAGAGGTGAAGAGAAAACGTGATCTCCATCAATTGAGAAGCTCCGAAAATGATGTGTAATTGTAATACTAAGTTGTGACACCGAATATAATACAATCTATACAGTCTCACAAACAAAAATGCGATCTAAATAAGCGAAAGAAAGCATAAAAAATCAAAATCTGGGTAGGATCTCTGCCAACAGCCAATCGAAGAAGAAATGTATGGAAACTGGTGACCCAAATCAGGCAGGCGTTCCTCTTACATAACGCAACCTTACTACGGTGAGCGGACTCCGATTTGCCTGATGCAGCTTAACGCAGGCTTATAAGCCTTAAGGAAGATTAATAGTATGGTGACTCGCGCGCGTGATTACCGAGTTGAGCCCCGTGTTCTCGTTGTTACGATGGTTAGCGGATTCTATTTGCTTATGGTAGCGCGCTAACGATTAAAAAGACTAAAATACCCCTCTGGCAGTAGCTTGAGTGCGGAGAATCGCGGTGTGATTACCGAATGCGACTGGGATGACAAATTAACCTCAAATTTTATTTTTTGACGTCATATCTTTCGAATCCTGTGTTCTTATTGTTACCGAGGGTGAGAGGATCTCAGTTGGTTAAGCCTAAAGACACTAAAAGACTCCCTGGCAATAATCGCTTAATGACCGCTTATTGTCCTTTAAAAAAGGCGAAGTACCGAGAATCGCTGTGGGATTACCGCACACGACTCGGATGGTAAACTTGTCCCAAAAAATATTTTTTGGCCTCCAATCCTTCGAGGTCAGCATTCTTATCGTCACGTACGGTGAGCGTACCCCAATCTTAGAATATATAACGCTATAGCTACACTATATCGGCCCAACAATCTCTCTCTATATCGGAGGCCCAAAAGAGCAAACTTAAGCTTCACGTTCCCCTCTTCTGGAGGCCCAAAACTCCAAAGATTTGCATTTAGATTGACGAGTTCTCTTGATTCAGGGATCCAAACCGTACATCTCGGTTCACAGCCTCCAAAACGACTCTTGTAAGTACAGGAAGGATCGATCACAGGTAGAGTTGACTGCATTCTTTGTGGCAGAAACTTAAAGTGCCCAAAATGAGTCAAAATAGGAGACCAAGCAAATACAAAAATGTATCGCCAGCTATCCATAAAAGTGGTCAGTCAATACCGTAAGCCACATTTGGATTATGATTCTAGAAAGAAATCAAATCGGCAAAGGTCGATTTTGAAACCAAAACGAGTGGTTCTGATTCGAATTGTTTTTTTATTATTATTTTTTAAATATAAAAGTATATAATTTATTTTTAAAATTAAAAATAATTTAAAATCATAGAAACGACCGTTTGAATCGAAGCATGAACCGTTAGTTTCGGGACCGACGATTTTAAGTTTAAAATTGATGATTTCGATTTTTCAAACTTAAAAATCAGAATCAAATCATACGATACATATTTCGATTTGGTTTGGAATCAATCAACCATTAGATTGGTTTGAAGGACGTGGACAGTGTCGAGGGAGTGACAAGCAAGATCAGAGTATGAGTCGGGGAACAACTTAGAGACAATGATTGATGATAAAAAAGATGAGCTAGGGGGATAATAATTAACGATTATGGGGTAACAGGTCGAGGAGTGATGATCGATGAAGAGCATGAGACGAAGTATGATGATTGATTGACGAGAGGGAGCGTAACAATAGTGTCGACAATCACAATGATCATAAGAGACGTGGGAAAGAAAAAGAAAAAAAAAATTAGAGAGATTATAAATAGTAAAATATTATTTTTATTAACTTTTAAGAGATTATGAATAAGAAGAGATTGTCAATACTAAAAAGGGATTCTAAATAGTAATCTTCTTTTTAAAATTTATGATATTGTTCTTAATTTTTATTTTTTTAATTATGAATTCTTTTCAATTTACATCTCGAATTCTTTGTTTAATTTTACATCTTGATTATCCACAACATGGACTATTTTCCTTCATAAATACATACGGAAGAAATATACTTAGGACAATGATAATGATGATATTTTATATGTTTTTGTTGTTGTTATTATTATTATTATTATTATTATTATTATTATTATTACTACTGAATGCTGATGCTGAATGGTGCACGATGGCATCTGCTTAAGACAAGAAAGTCCTCTCAAACCTGTGGCCTTCATGTCATGAACAGCAGAGCAGCGAGTCTTGCAAAGCATCTAAAGACACAAGTCTGCACCCTGTAATTGCGACGTCAAACTTTCTCCCATGTCTCACTCCCAATGCTGGAGTGGATGTATCAGTGAAGATGAAGCAGAAGTTGTCAAGGTTGGCTGAGCGAGGCCTACTGCTGCTGCTTTGGATTTGATAGCTCTATGTGTTTGTGGGTTTGCCTGTGAGAGGGATTCTGAGGCATGCTCTTCCCACCCCCATCACCTCATGAGCTGCATGCACTGCTCGCCATGCCCCATCATTCCATCTCAGACGAAAGCCTGCAACCCTATCTTCGGCTTTCGGTGTGCGAGCGGTGGGGACTCCCAACACAGCAGATTCCTCGAGCTTGTCGGAGCAGTGTCCGCGTGCCATTCTCCTTCATGCTCTCGTCTTCCTCGACATCGCATCCTTCGTAGGGCTAATATTAATCGCAGTGCAGTGCAGTGCAGTGCAGTGAGCGGCACCACATCCTCATGCAAGCTCTATCCACGTTGGTAATCCCCCAAAGTGGGGAAAGCTGTATCCATTAAACCGAGTCTTCAAGCCACAATCTGCACCGATCTCTCATGATCACATGTAGAAGAGCCATATCCCACGCTATCCGATGCGCACCACGCATTTGAATACTTGTCTTTCCTCTTCTCGAGGTCTGCCTCGCCATTAAAGTCTGGTCTCTCTAAGCTGTAAGCAGCTTCTTTAATCTTCTGAGAATGGTGACACATGCTTTCCTTCCTTATACTTAAGCTGGTGAGAGACTACAACACATTAGGGTTCAAGTAGATCTACGTGCTACCGCTGGTGAGGATGCGTTTGCAGGTGACGTATGTGGGGATCGACATGTAGAGATCATTAGATTAGCTTAAGGATAGCGATGCTTGTCGTCAGCACCACAGAAGGAGGTGCAATTATGGTAGCATAAATGCATGCACTGCAGGGGCATATGGGCCCTCATTACCAGCCATGTAATATAGGTCATTAAGATAAGGGTTTGGATCACATGTAGGATGCTTCTCTATTCCAGCTCTGAGCAAATCCCAGTGGAAGCTCTTTCAAGTCTCTATTCATGCATGAACGTGGGCGATATGCTGCTCCAGCATTAATGTCATGCCTTAGAAAGACTCAACATGACAGCCAATGGTTACCTGCAAGAAATATATTAGTAGAGATAGCTTGCAACTACATGCCCATGTGGATGCATCTTAATGGCGCCATGGAATCGATGCACTCTAAAAGAAGTTTATCTGTACAGCACTTGCCTGTTCAGAGAGAGAGAGAGAGAGAGAGAGAGAGGGTCATGTGATTCTGTGGTTTGGGCATATTCTAATGTCTTGATCAGGTCATTTAACATCAGCTTAAGATGATGTCTTATAAGCAAGCAATTCGAGTGACATATGGCTGCACTTGTTGTCTCTTCAGAATGTTCTTTCCCTTTGCTTCATGGATTCTTTACTACTACTACTACTAGTCAGCAGTGTGCCGAAAGAGAGATGATACGAATCAGCTAAAGGGAGGATGTGACTGCAATGGGATTGAGGTGGGTGGGTGAGAGACTGTAGGGAAGAAGGCATTGTTGGCACTCATTTGGAGAGTTCTGAGGCTCTTCCCAATCCCCAGAACTGAGAAGATTCTGAAAAGGTCACATCAGATAAGATGAAGAAGAAAGAACATGGCTAAGTATAAAGAGTGATGCTAAACAATGCCATCCACCACATCAGAGTTTTTAACTACTGTTCCCAACACACCTCACTCCATATGAAAACTATTCCTGATCTCTTCCTTCTTCCTTGGGAACCTTTAGCCTTCATCTAGGGTTGCATCACGACTGGTCATCTCTTTCCTCTAAACTCCACTTGGTGATGGATTTGATTGCCTTGTAGCCTTTAGAAAAGCTCTGTTAAGGCAATATCTTACAGCCTAAGATTAATACTACTCCATTCAGTACTTGCACCAAAAAGCTTTACTCTCAATTTGGGTTGCCTCTTGCAGTTTTCTGCAAGTCAAAGCCAAAAATGGCTTTCATGGAGCTAAGCTCATTGTGCTGTTGATAAGCAGTGGTGCTCATATGTCCTTCTTGTACTTGTATTCACTCTACCAGCAGACCACATGCTTTAGCAGTACTATATAATGCAAGAAGAATAAGATGGATTTGAGAGTGCAATCCCTCCATAGACCAAATGCAGCAGCAGCAGCAACATTTTCCTAATTGCTTCTCTGCATTGGATCTTAAATCTAGCAAACAAGAAGAGAAGTTTTCTGCCTCTCCAAAAGAACTCTTCAATGAATACACATCTGTTTCTTTGATCAAGTCAATGTGGACATCACACATCTTACTTCATCAACTTGTGTTTTTTTTTTTTTTTGTGTCAGCCTATCAATTCATCCAAGCAATCTAATCTTCCACAGCAACTATCAAAAAGAAAAAAAAAGGTTGTGCCAATTAATGATCCAATTCTGGTGGATAACATAAATAATGAAACGAATTAATAAGCCAAAGCATGTTTGTGGCACACTAAAAAAGAAACTTGTAAGAACTTTTCCTAAGAATGCAACCTTTGCTCTACTTTAATCCTTTCTCGAGTTTCAATTACGCAAGTTGGATTTGTTTACTTTCTTGAACGAACAAGATGACCCCAAATGACATAAATTGATGCAGTAATTAAGAAACTACATTCACATCATTTGATGTTAGAGACATGGATTTGTAGGTATGGTGAAGAGGCACAACAAGGTTAGAGAGAGAGAGAGAGCGCAGAATCATTCCCCTTGCGTAACTATGTAGAGAGAGATCTATGTGCCGGTGGTCATGGAGTTCTTTGGTCTCTTAGATGGATAGAAACAGTACACGTTATTGATTTGATGAATGCAAACTAAGACATCATCAACATTAGATTATCAATAAACGACTGTGTTCTCCTTGTATTATTTATATGTAATTAGCTTCCATCATTACCCCCCTAAAGAAGAGTCAGTACCCACCATTTGTATATATTTGGACCTACCACAATCACAAGCTCTCTCTCTCTCTCTCTCTCTCTCTCTCTCTCTCTCTCTCTCTCTGCTCGCTGCCGTGTAAAAGTCAGCTTCTTCCTCTTATAATATATATTGCTTTCCCTCTCTTTCTCCTGCAGGCTCCTTAAGAAACTACTACTACTACTCTTCTTAGGTTTGAAGAAGGGCCCCCAGTTCTCTCACCCTGTTCTTGTTGAAGGCTTGTGCTCCTTCCACCTGATCTCTCTCTCTTGCTTCGAGAGCAAGAAGAAGAAGAGAGCTTACAGATAGGATCATGGAGCTGGGCATTGGGTGCAATACTATCAGGAAGTGGTTTCCTCTATCCTAATCATACTCTTTGGCGTCGCTACCTGGCTGGCTAGAGACATGTGTGACTACTTCTGGCACAGGATGGAGAACGACTCCGGTGAGCTCGCCGACATAGTGCGAGCTGGAGGCCGAAGCGGCCCATCGAACACCGAATTCGAGCCGGTCGCTGCCGAGTGGCGGCTTCCTTCCCACCCGCCGGTGTTCTTTCCTACGAGGGCTGAGATCCCTACCAACGCCTTCGGGGATCCGTTCGTCAACCTGCGTGACCCTCTGCTGGATCAATTCACGGGCGTGGAGTTCTTCGATGGCGCAGAAGCGATGGTGGCGCCGGCCAGTACGGCCGCCCCAGCGGGCTGCTGCAGCGGTCATGTAGCTCCGAAGCTGCTGCTAACGAGCGAGCAGGAGATGAAGGGGCCTTGTAATGTCTTCTCGAGGGCTGTTCATCAGATCTCGCCTGGTGGCAGCAGCATGAGCAGCAAGCCTTCCCTGCTTCCATCGAGGCTGGTCAGGCCATCTCCCGCCAGCAGCGGCTCCATAGCCGGCCCAGCGGATCATGGTGGTGGAGTGCAGCAGATCTCCTCCCCTCGGCCTCCAGTGATCAAACGAAGGTTAAAATCCTAGCGCTCAATCATATCGTTGCTTCAGACTTCCTCTTATGATCATATCTTATGGTATTGATCATAGTAAGCGTGAATTCCCGGAGCTCGAGTTGTCTTCGGAAAGGCCACGGTTGTGTTCCTTTTCGATAGGAACGGAATTTATCTTGTCCGAACAGACAAAGAATTGATGGCAATCTAAGGACATAAGCCATCAAAAGTGGGAGGGTCACCACCCATCCATTCAATCAAACTGGTACAGGTGATGGTGGCTAAAAGGAGCTCACAGAAGCTGACACCTGCTAATCCTAGGAACAATTTCATGTTCCATCTTAGGAAGTCCAAGCTATTTACTTTCGACCTGAAAACAATACTGGGATTTCTATCTTTGCGATTGTTGTTGGAAATAAACTTGAGTTGTTCACGCAGAAAAAACCAGGCGAAGAAAGTGGTGTGCATTCCTGCACCGCCGCCGGCGGCGGCCGGCAACAGGCTGAGCGGTGAGGTGGTTCCATCTGATCTCTGGGCTTGGAGGAAGTATGGCCAGAAACCGATCAAGGGTTCTCCTTATCCAAGGTAAGATTCCCCATAGCTAATGGTGGTGAATAGTGAAAGATGATTACTAGTCTCTAAATTGTTGTCTGGGGTAACATTGATTTCGAGCTACGTTCCTCGAGCTGATCGAGTTCCGTGGACATCAGGGGGTATTACAGGTGTAGCAGCTCCAAGGGATGCTCGGCGAGGAAGCAAGTAGAGCGCAGCCGAACGGATCCCAATATGTTGGTCATCACCTACACGTCCGACCACAACCACCCATGGCCGACGCAGCGTAATGCGCTTGCAGGATCCACGAGATCCCAACCGTCCAAGAACGGCCCCAGGAACAATCTCAAGGAGGAGCCTAATAAGGAGACCACCAGCTCGAGTGGTCATATGGTAAAAGAGGAGGAGATTGGTGAGATGGAGAAGACGATCGAACAAGCTGGAGACACCCTCGGATTCGACCCAATGATCCACCCAAGTTACAAGTCGGACCAGCCCGATGACCTGTTCGCGGGTTTGGCGGAGTTGGAAGGCGACCCGATGAGCCTCATCTTCTCCAGAGGATTCATGGAATCAAAGCCGGATGAGGAGAAGGGGGTCGGTGCCTCGGATGCGTTCGACATGTTTGACTGGGCAGGAGGGAGCTCACGAAGCCAAGAAGAAGAGGTTTATTACAAGACCTTGGAGAAGTAGTCCTTTCTGTACAAGGTCTAGCTATAAACCTTTTTGAATTCATAAAGTAGGGCACTGGGGAGGGAGGGAGCGGAGGATGACTTCTGTTGTGTGTTTCCTACTATTTATTCTTGTCGTTCAACAGGACAGAACAGTCTATAGATCAGGATTTGGTGAAGAGAAGGGATTGGGTGTTTGAAGACCCACACGCTCGGAGTATTGGAGGATGGGACAGAAAGCTAAGCAACAGAAACTTTGAACAGTCGCACAAGTGAATGTCTGAGAAGCACTGAGAAGAAAAGAAGGGATTGGGCGTTTGAAGACCCACAACAAGCTTGGAATATTGGGGGATGGGACAGAAAGCTAAGTAACAGAAACTTTGAACTGTTCCACAAGTGAATGTCTGAAATGCACTGAGAAAAGCCTGCATGAAGAATATGATGAGCTCCTCTTCTCTCCCTCTCGTTAGAAGTGGGGAGAATAGTTTGACGGGTTGAAGAAGAGAAGTCTGTTCAACATATGCAGTGAAGATAGACGAGTAGAAAGAGCTTCACCTTTCTTTTACTTTTGGAACAACTCAAGCAAAAGAACATGATTGACATATATTTGAGCATTAAAAGATCTAGTAACCAGTGACAGAAAAGCTTGAACAGTTGCTCTTAGCCTTTATGACAACAGTTATTATGATGTGTGTTTGATATGTTCAGATAAGAACTTATGTACAAAGATTTAGAATCCACCCAATCCTTCTTAAGATGTTTGCAATATGAATGGTCGACTCGACTACACTTTAACAAAATATTGCAGCTGCCTATTAATGATTGCTATTGTGAAATGTGTGCAAACATTCAATGAATGAACAAAAGGAATGATGGTAGAAATCAATATAAAGTGAATAAAGATGGAGTTCAGCATGAATCATGAAAGGATAAAAAGTTAATCTGACTCGTGATTTCCTGCACTCTATAATTCGAGTCGGTTCCTTCTGAAGCCAGAATCCATGGCCTCGTTGACTGGTCGTCATTGATTGATTGAAAATATGAGACATCATTCAACTTGCAATGATATGTATGGAGACAACTGTAGCCACTACGCATCTGTTGGGACACTATGGGTGTGGAGTTTGAATCGCCACCGAGAAAAAAGGAAAAGGTGATAGATTTGAATCAACTAAAAGGTGTTGATGGGAGTCCACAATGCATACTCGGCACAAAAGAACAAGGTTTGCCATTTGGTCTATCGTAAGGTATCAATCCACACAAAAGGAATAGGATCACTACAAGACACTCAACCCACCTCATCTCTATTGGATGGCATGTCCTAAGTGCTAAGAACCTTTAGAAGAGTCCGTTAAACAGTAACACAGCTGTAAGCTAGATGACAAATACTGTATAAAGTATTTGTATGATATCCCAGTTTAATCTCACTTGAGTTAGTTTGCTAGGACTGAGATTAAGTATTTTGACTAATAATTTAGATTCATAATAAATGATATTAGGACAGACTTAATGCTAAACATGATAAAGATAAAATCACTAGTCTTGGATGAAACTTATGGAATGTCAAGTTGGAGTACTGATTGCATCAACATTTTTGCATTATAATAGCCTAAAGAAAAGAATCCCATTTACCTTATTCACAGCTGATATTTAGTAGGCTTAGACACATGAACTATGAACCGTTTCTTCGCACAGAAACACCTGCAGGAAGAGATGGTATGAGAGAGAAGCCCAATAATCTATTTATCATTTACCAGCGGACAAGCTTAGCAAGAAGTAATGTTTCTGAAGATAACCTGGCGGCAGTGAGGTCAATAAAAAGAATAAGGAAGCTTCCACAACCATATGGTGTTCAAGGGCTCTGTAAATTTGTACTGCAACAGAAGTTCTGAAGAGAGTTACTTGTTTCGAGTACCAGAAAAGTAAGACAATTTGACAATTTGAACAGCTTATGTGTTTTCTCTTCAAATAAGGCAAAGCCAGGGAACATATTCTTTATGGGAGCAGTTTAGGATCATAGTCATGGAACATCAAGCAGCTTAATACTAATCTTGAGGTAGAAATGTGGACTTTCCCAAAACAGAATCATCATGCTTTCAGTCAGTCCTAGGCACAAAAGTTCAACTTCTTCATAACCTTTGCATATGCTGCATGCACAATTCCAGGCCTCCTTAGTCTCCGTTTCGCCTCCTTAGACTGCATAAACCACCATCATCCGAATTAATTACAAACTCAACATTCCTTTGCACAGATAAAAAAGAAACTATCCCACAAAAAACTTCAAATAGTAAATCTTCAACCATAAACAGAAACTTAAACTAATATCTTCTACAAATTCCCTAACTACTTCAGTGACACTTTTAAAGAAAAAGTGAGCTGAACCAAAGAAAGAAGCTATGGATTTTCTCTGCTCATGCCTTCATGATGATTATTCTACATCTTTCTCTAGAGCTCTTCAGGTTAACTATAATCTCGAGCAAAAGTTTGCATCTTATGCAGGTGTAGGAACATTTTCCAATTGGATATAATATATCAACATCGTTAAAAGGCACCCGAGCGCTCGCCTAAGCGTTTTGTCACGAACTTAGCTGGTTTTGCCTAAGTCGTACAACACTCTTACGCGTCCGTCTGCAAAAAGGTCAGCTTCTCCAAATCTTTTATGGTCCCATAAGGATCTACAAAAAAAAAGATGAGTTAGAAGAAGCGTTTGACTCGAGATCCAACAAGCAACCATTTTAACAAACACTTGACTAATTAATGTTTCAATGTGGTTCGTCACGACCATAGACTACACAAGCTCTAAATGATCGCACAACAAATGGTTCATTGTGGTTCGCCATAGCCAAAAGTCCTCACAAGTTCCCATATGACATTGCTGTGAAACAAGGCAACGACTAACCCTAGACACTACCTCAAAGGCCCGTCCAGTCATGTGCCACCCCAGTAGCTCCTGGGTACAGTGCTGGCTGACACTCCACATCACTTTGTAGAGCTAGAAACCTCCAAAATTGTTGCCTAGATGGTCTGTTTTTGGGCAATTTTGCCTTTGCACGATGGCTGCACACAACCTGCGTTTATAAAACTAAAACAACCACAAAAGCCAACTAAAATGGGGTTGCCAAGCCTACTTCATGCCCTCTATATGTTGTGCAAAGCGTGAACAAAACCAAAAGGCACGATCATACACAGACATTACATCAAACACCTTGTTTACATATTTGTCCGTGACAGCTTGAGTGAGGCGAGACGAGGCGAGGCAAGGTCCGAGCACCTCGCTCAGCACTTGGGTGATGCACTTTAGTGAAGCGGCGCTCATCTCGCCCAAGCGTCGAGCACCTTGGGTGAGCATTCAATTGAATGTGAACCAGATTGTCAAATGCTTCAATTGAACTAGGCACTAGTTGGTTCAATCAAACCAACGAAGCATAGTAAACAAACCCCTCCCCTCGTGCAACCCACGCACACACAACAAAACCCATGCCATAGTAAAACCATACTACTATCGCCGCCCCCAACGCACCTCTACTCTGCCATCGTTGCCTTTATGCACAGCTCTTCCCCGCCAATGGATAGGTCTGATGCTTCCTCTACCGTCGACATGCAGGTCCAAAGCTCTCACCATTGTAGCTCTCATGTGTAGTTCCCTCCGTCGCCGCTGCTTTTGTGTGCAACTCACTCCATCACTGAGGGACCGGTCCGCGACTTCCTCCGCCCCCGACGTCATCGTTCGCAGCTTTCTCTGTCACTATTGTCGTTGTCCGTAGCTATCTCTATCGTTGATGCTGTTATCCGCAGCTTTCTTTGTCATTACTGTCGTCATCCGCAACTTTCTCCGCCACCACTATTGTCGTTCGCAACTTTCTTTACCGCCACTGTTACCGTCCGAAGGTTCCTCCGTTATCGTTGCTCTCTCCTTCCCCACCTTTCACCATCGGTGACTCCTCCCTAATGCACAATATTAGAACTATTATCCCTATTAATCATTTAAAACTAATATTAATCCTTAGAACTATTAACCCTATTTAGAACTAATTCCTATTTAAAACTACTAATCCTTATTTAGTATTGTTAGTCATTATTTAGAAATATTATTAATCCCTATTTAGCATGTTAATCTCTATTTATTTATAACTATTATTAGAAATGTTATTAATCCCAATTTAATATCATTTTATTATTTTTATAATTATATTATATTTTTTATATTTTAATATTTTAGACTGCTTCACTTCGCTCGGGCGAGTGCCTAGCGCCTCAACCATTTTGGGACCTTGGTGCCTAGTGGTTTCAAAAATATTATGCTATATATAAGAAATTGATTCCTACTGGGTATGATATAAGCAGTTTATCACATTAATTGGATATACTACTAAGTTATGAGGGAATAGAAGATAATAGATATACACACTGAGTCAAGGTTAAATTAATGGGTTGTGTATTCGGACCTCATGTCCAAAGAATAGGAATTGGTTGCATCATTAATGGGGACTCCACAAGCCTTTCCAATAGTCATTATCCTTGCAGACTGTACATTAGGCACTTAGGTATAGTCTGGTTTAAAGACCTAGCAAGGAAACGGCCTCCATAGGCAGTCCATGGACCAGTTAAAATCACTCCGCATTGCCTAGAAATCATTCTACATTACTGAAGGGAGATGAAGAGATATCTTAAAACAAACTCACAATCACTTGTATGACCAGCTAAGCTTATAGCAACCTGTTGTTTCTATTAATAACAAATATAATTATTCTGAGACTTGTTGACAGACTAAATGTTGAATTCAAGAGAAAATCAACTGTTCTTGTGCCTTTTATGGATAATCATACAAGATGAAAAAAAAAAGTTAAACTGAAAGTTTGACTGTGTTAACTTATCAACACCTGATGTATCTATGACAAGACTAGCATTATGGAATAGAAATAGTAGTAAAATATACGTAACATGACAACAAAGGAGATAGCAGTGGCCTGAAGAATTAATCAGTAAAACTTTGCTGCTGAGTTACCTCTCTAAGTAAACACATGGTACAAATTAATAACAGGAAAAGGAAAGAGATCTGCCGTGTCACAATTTCATATTACCATTAGACACCCCAGGTCTGAGATCTACTAGATATGTTTAGCTTATAAATTACATTAGGTAGGGAAGCATAGTACCAAACTAATTAACTGTTTCAGAATTTGATGATTCCTAAATAACGGGAAAAGCTTGAAACAATTGTCTAACTAAAACTAACAAGTAGAATCACAATAACATAAAAAGAAGGATGGACCAAATGCATAGAACTCCCGGTAATGCAACATCTGACTTTGAGGGGGTAAATGTACTCAACCTTAACCCTTACAACTATAAGGGTTAATGTATGCAGCCGTAAGCAATCTTATCATTGTACTTAGGCTCACCCTCTATATTAACAAAATCACAAAGATGGAAAACTGGACTTGGCAACTACAATTTGAAACCTAAATTTTATTAAGACTCGAGCTGGACACTTGCTGATAAAGGAACCATATATGAGACATGCAATAGCTCTAGAAAGTTGCCTAGCGTGTAAATATTTTAAAATTTAAAATCCATATGCATTTCATGTACATTTAATAGCTTCAAGGATTTTTGTGATGATATTTGCAAGCAATTGTATGATGAATGCTCTTCATGATTTTTCATGTATAGACAAATCAACACAAGCTAGATTGTGCAAAAACAGGAAAACAAACTTAAGGAAAGTAAGGAGAAAGAAAGAAAAAGAGACAAGAGTCTAGCCAAATTAGTCATATATATTAACTTGGTTGATGAAGATAACCCATCAATCCAATTTATCAATATGAATTTGTAACAATGATAACAGAGTATTGGTTCAAGAGGCTCTTTTTTCAAGTTCAAAAAGTAAATGGGATGGACTCTACTGCTATAGTTTCCTCAAGTAGACAAGGATGACAAGTGGGACAAATGTCTGTGGAAAGCATTCATCCAGATCAAATCTAAAAATGTATGTTACAGGAAGACACCTAACTCAACTTTTTTGGTAGACAGGAGGGTTTTTTCTTGATCGCAAACAATGGTTGAACATAGAATACAGCATTAGAATTTTAACTCATCAACAACCAAAGAAAAAGGCAATCCAATTTGCTCCAATCTAATTGCCATTGAGTTAATAAACAATAATTAATAATTGGTTTTTCGGCAAAGAACCTCGGAATTAATAGTTCGCAACTAATTCAAATGCATAAAGCTCAAAATGATTGTACATTTCTTAGGTTAATCAGTTCTCCCTTCAGTTACAGAATAGTCAAGATCTCTTTTGCATTTATCAGTGGATCAGACGATAACAAGTTACCTTCAAGTGTGCATTATGCCGCTTTCCAGCTTTCCATCTCCGTATTTGTCCATTGTTCATGGTCCTAAATCGGAATTTAAAAGATCTAAACACAAAGAAATGACAAAAAGAGAAAATTAGATCTAATGAAACATAGCAAAAAGACAGTAAAACTCTCTGAAGCACAAATCAAGCATACGAGTAAGATTTGATCTTATATTTCTTCACTTTAGAAGTAACTGGCGTGCGCGGCGCCCTCGATCTATCCTTCACCGCATAAAAACGTGACTGCGTCGCCTGAAACCCAATCAAAATCAAAGCAAAGGCGCATATGCAATCAAATCAGAAACTAGGCTAAAAATAAAATTTTAAGCGAATAAAAAATCAACAAAAAGAGGGTGACAAATATTCTTCACTAGAAAATGATTCAATTAGCTAAAGGACAAAGAAATATAAAAATCATTTTCAAAGAAACGTACCGGAAGAAGACGAGAGGGAGTGTGAAACCCTAAAACCGGCGGCCGGTCGCGGAGAGCTGCGGAAATGAAGTCACTGATAACGGGCTTGCGAATGGAAGGATCTACGGGTAACGCCATTGATCGGAGGCATCGATGCGGGAAGGGAGCAGCAGCGAAGGCAGGCCGGGAAGAGGAGAGCAAATGTCGACCGATGCTGGCGAACCATCGCGCCTGCATCGTTGTGGCTTCGGGACAGAAAAAAAGGAACGAGTTCGCTAGCCTCTCTCTCGAGAGCGACGAAATAAAAACCGGACCAGACGAAGTTGACTCGACCCAACATTTCGGATAGGCAACAGTTGATTGAGTTAGGTTCGGACCCAATTGATCAATGTTAGACTTTGATCGTTCCCCCCAATACTCCTCACCAGCTCACAGCTTGAACAACACGAACCGTTTCGGCTTGCTTCCCCGGCGCCACTCGCTCCACCATGGGAAGAAGGGGCGACACTGCATTGAACGCATGCCACGGGTTCTCGTAGTCGTAGCAGCCGTCAGCTATGAGTGACAGGCCACGCACGACGATCCCACCGGAGGGGAAGATGTTCTCCGACGCGCCAAGCGCATAGGACTTGTTATGGGTGTCGATGCAGAGGATTTTGCCGTGAGGGCGGCGAGAAGGGAAGACGAAGTGCTCGGGGCGGCCGGTGAGGGTGCTCATGAACCATGTTCTGTTGGGGTCCTTGTAAGGGGGAACGCTTGGGTCCTTGAGGGGGTGAAATGTGAGGAGGGCTGGAGTTGGGTCATGGCGAATTCTTCGTGGTGGTGCGGTGTCGGTGGGCGTCCTTCGGGTAGCCAAGGATTGGATGGCGACCAGGAGGAGGAAGGAGGTGATAGCGTAGAGGTAGGTGGCGGTGCATCCAGCTTGGTTGTGGGGCTTTGGGCACGAGTTCTTGGGCCCGTGGGAAAGAGGTGGCCGGAGAGAAGAGGGTTGGCCTGTCAATCTCGATCGATCATTAATACTACTAGGGGATGGGGGATAAAATATACAGAGAGCGTAAAATGATACGCCACACAATGATAAACGCTTCCTTATTGTATCCTGTTCAACCATTAAATGACTCTACCGATCATTGGACGGTCCAGATCAGAAAGTCTCCACTTCCCTGCTCAATGAACGGTCGGATCTTGCTAAATCGGAGTCCTGTGGTTTGTACGGCTATGAGATTTACGGATTTTTCTAAGATTCGTGATGCCTTCAATTTTATCAATAGAAAATACAATACATGATAACATGAGTATAAATAGTACTACACCGCAGTACCTCACCTATCTCTTCTGATGTTAACATAAATGCAAAGTGACAATGAAGAAGAAAGAGGAGATAAATCAGTGCTGATACAGATGCCTAATCTCTCTTCTCTTTCTCTTCTAACGTCGATACATATGTCTTACCACTCTATCTCACTTTTATTCTTGTTATCAATGTTTAGATCAACATCGATCGAGCTGATCACCGCTATAACAATCATCTATAGTACAATCGTCCACTATCATAATTAAAATTATTTTTTTATCTATTATTTTTTATGCCATTCGTATATTTCGTCAGTAAAACCAATGATATTATGATAAATGAGGTTAAATATTTTATTTTTATTATTGTAATGATTTCAATATAAATTTTTTGAGTATATGGATTAAGATGCTAAAGAAATATAACTACTGGAGTACTCTATAATTAGCTTATCATTACAGTTGAAACTATTTTTTTGTCTATCATTTTTATACTATTCATATATATATTATATCTTCCGTCAGTAAAATCGATAGAATGAATGAGATTAAATGTTTCACTTTTAGAATTATAAAAATTTTAATATAATTTTTTTAGATCGATAAATAGAAATACTAAAGAGATCTAACTATAGGGATAATTTGTAATTAACCCTGTATCTATCGTAATCCTTAATGATTTCTTACACATTTTTATCTTAATATATATATATTTTTTGGAAGGAGTAAAATACTAAGATATAGAGTAAAATCATATAAGTCATTGTTATTACTCATGACGATGATAAACGATGACTTATTAATTTTTTTTATGACACAAACGAGTGATAATTGTTAGTGTTCAAAGGTAATGGAAGCAATAATTCTAACCGTGCATCAATTTCTTATGATCTTTCCGCCTAGTTTTGAAGATAATGAGATCCGTAATACTCACAACCAATAACCACAACCAAAACGAAATAGTCATCACCCACGCACAAGTGGGTCCCAAGTGGGGCCACGTCGTGTCAAATCAGCATGCTGGTAAATGACGCATTGGAACGAACGGGTAACGATCGGTGGTCCTGGTTGGCCGCTATTACCGCGTTTGAATCTCGGTAAACGGACGGCGGAGATCAGCTCACACGCCTGTTAAAGCAATCGGATCAAAGCGAGCGAGAGAGAAGGGGCTCACTGCTTTCTCCCCCAAAAGGAGGAGCGGCGTTGGGCATCTCCCCTCCTCTCTGTCGAAACATTTCGCACGATCTCGATGCCCAGCTAAAGATTTTGGGTGGGATTCTTGAGCTGGCGATTGTGGAGGAATAAAGGAGGAGATCGGCGATGGGGCAGGCGTTCCGGAAGCTCTTCGATACCTTCTTCGGCAACAAGGAGATGAGGGTATGCTCCGTTCCCCTTCCTCTCCCTTCTTCTAATCTTGTTCTTGTGCTCACAGTTTATTGATCACCGTCCTCCCTTTCGTTCACTCTCTCTCGAAGTGATATCGTCTACAATATTTAGGGATCTTGGTCGGCTGAACGGGGTGTAACATGATGAGACATCTCATCTTTATGATGTCTAATGGAAAACTCGCGCTCTGATTATTGTGATTCTACCAAGATTTCTTTTTCGTGCTATAAATAGATATGCCTCTTCTGTTAGTTAATGAACATTCCCCCATCTATTGTCGATTTGAGCGGAATGTATTGTTCAAGAAGGTGTTCTTTAGTTTTACCTTTTTGATGAACTAACCAACTCTTTTTCCTATATTTGCAACTACTTTAGTTAGCTCCCTAGTAGTTCTTTATCACTTCAAGTATGATCGCATGCACTTTTCTTTCCTTTTAAATTGTCACATGATTTCTTTTGAATTTCTAAGTTCCGAGCAGTATTTGTTGTTGCAGAGTCATAAATTCTGATGGGGAGTAGGCCTAGTAGTATACTTATTATACCTTATAAATTAACCTAAGTCTTTGCTCACAATTGATGCGGGACTCAGTCGAGGTGGTATAATTTCCCCTGCTTCAGGGTGACGGCTTCATCAATGTCCAAACATAGCCTAGAATCAAACCCTAGTGTGATATACATAAGGCATATCCTAACCTAATGATGGCTCCTCGCTATGATGTGCTCTATGACCATATTGACTCTGATACTATATTGACTCTGATACTAATTGATCTAATGGAGTAATTGGCTTACTACTCAAGCCTTATTAACTGACCCAAAATGGTTATGCCCAAATTAATAGTAGGATGTGGGTTAGGTCATTATAAGTCAATCTAAGTCTTTGTCCACTTATAAGTCAATGCTGGGTATAAATTGAGTATTATACCTAACTTGGCATGAAATGAAAAATGAATTGTTTGCCGCAACCGTTTACTGGTCAAATGTTCTTTCCTTTGGACCATAATAATATAGTCTTCAATGTCCAATAGTCTGAATATTCAGAAAGCATAAATGGGTTTCAGTATTGCTTTTAAGTTTGTTATTAATTAATTACCTGTACTTAGTTTATTCCGTTGAAAAATTCAATTGGAAGTTTATAAAATGGATTTTAGATGGAATGTTATTCTAGTTACTTAGGAAAAATCATGAAGATATCTCTGTAGACCTTGCCCACTATGTATATGCTGCTTGGTAACTGTTTCAAGTCTAGGCTGAACAATTGTGATGTTAAGAAATGTAGTCTAGACTATTGATAAATGATTAAATATGAGATCAAATTTGATATCCTGTTTTAGTTGATGTTTTTTCATGAAACTTCTAGCATATTAATTCATGTTTCTCATATAACCTCATTTATTTTTGAACTATTTCTCTTAGGTTGTGATGCTTGGACTGGATGCAGCAGGTAAAACTACAATTTTGTACAAGTTGCACATTGGAGAGGTCTTGTCAACGGTCCCAACAATTGGTAAGTATGTTTTGTTGACTAGATACCAGTCTTTGAAGATATTTACCTAGCTTGGCTGCCTTAAATAGGCTTTTTAAAGTTGTCGTTAGGATGTTTTTCTTTGGTGTGCTTGCAATTTCATTCCTCCATTAGCTAGACATATTAATTTCTGCCATTTATTTTCCTTGTTACTATTAGTGGAGAAGTATATTGGACTTATACAGCAGATTGTATGTTTGAAAGAAGAAGCAAATTTCAACTGTTCTTCAGAATTTCTTTGTTCAAGTCAGAAGCCTATAGGATGGCCTTGTGACCTATATGTTTGAGTACTATGTTCAAGCTTCAATCAGCTTGGAAGAAAGCTTGACCCTGGAGTCTGCTGATTTTTTTTCTATTGCATCAGCTGGAAAAGGGAGAAGAAAGGATGAGATTAGAACAAAAGAGAAAGAGAGAAAAAGAGGCAAACTAACGAAAGTTTATTTTACTGAGATGTCATTCATACAAATCCTTCTTATTTTATTCCCCATCGAAACTTTCTTTACGCTTTGAAGGGCTCTTTAAAAAAGCAAACTGCCTATTTTAGTATCACAAAACCTCTCAGAGAAAAATTTCCATGTTATATAACAAATGCTCGTCATCTTAATTTTATTTCTGACCAATAATATTTGATTATCTGATTATTGAAAATGAAGTGTTCACCCAATTCTTAACCTAACGTCTTACAGCAGATGATAGTTCATCCATCTTCCATCCAGCAAATCTACTCCTTTTAGGTTCCACAAGCTAGAGAAGATGAACCAGCCATGTAGGTTTACTTAGAAAAGTGGCTAACTTAACATCTTGATATTTACTTTAATAGATTAATATAAATGCTACAAATTACACCAAAATTGATTCATAATGATATTTAGATGTTGACCTGTTGAATTTTAGAATTACTAGATATTAAGGAAACTGATAAGGCATGAGCATATGCAATATGCATCATATCATAATAACTTAGACACTGTGGACTCTGGTAACTCTTTTCTCTTCATTTATGCAGGTTTTAATGTAGAAAAAGTTCAGTATAAGAATGTGATATTTACAGTCTGGGATGTTGGTGGGCAAGAGAAATTGAGGCCTTTGTGGAGGCATTACTTTAACAATACAGATGGTCTGGTAAATAGTTATTATCTATCAGAGAGAATGGCTGTAGTGCTTTCTTTAGCAAGCTCAGGGTTCATTGATATTCTTTCCTAGTGAAACTTCCTTTCCATGTTGAATATTTATCTTTGGTGTTTAACTAGGGGCCACTTATTCTTTTGCAATTTGTATCCAAGGATCATGTGAGGTCCATGCTTCATGTAATATCATGTAACCCTGTTTGGAATTTGGATGCTCTATGTTTATCCACTAAAAAGAAGTTTGAAGGCTAAAATAAATTGGCCAGTGAGGTCATAGAACTCCTAATTCTTCTTTTCGTATTGTGACAACAACTCAATGACAGTAAGATCATTTCTGTAAATGACATTGCAGGTTTTCAGGATTAAAATTTTGTGGTTTCCTTTGACTTTAGTCCTTCTGCCTTCTCTTCTGTCTAATAAATTAATGTACACACTGGAATGCAAAATGTTCTTGTTTCCATAAAAGAAAGAGATTTAACATCACATTTTGCTCTCTTGCAGATCTATGTAGTTGATTCGTTGGACAGAGAAAGAATTGGGAAAGCTAAAGCAGAGTTTCAGGTTATTTGCACACACACACACACACACACACACACACACACACACACACACACACAATATATATATATATATATATATATGTCCTGCGTGGAAGAAAGTTCATTGCTGTTTTTCTTGGGGTTATTGACTTTGATAATTGCTCTTTTCAGGCCATCATCAATGACCCGTTCATGCTTAACAGTGTCATTTTGATATTTGCAAACAAACAGGATATGGTATGTTAAATTGGTAACTCACAATTGTATGAGCCTGCTGTTTAATTGCAATGCAATTCCATGCATCTGTGCAGAAGAGCCCTTATTGTTCTATTCACTCTAATGCTTCATGTTAGTTTTTTTCTATTTGAAATACATATTTCTCTTTTCTCTTCAAAGTGTAGTTTCTGCATCTTACAAATATTCTTTCACAAATCCCATCAGAGGCATCAAAGAGAAATTTGCTTGAAAAAGTTTGTAAATAATTGATGCATGCTATATTTTTTGTCAAGAAATCAGTTTATTACTTTAAGAACATGATGTTGCAGATCAGGAGAGGTTTTTGCTTAAGATTCCAGATCAAAATACTAATGCAAATCTGAAACCGTAATCATTAAACCTTATGTCTTGCAATTTCCTTATTCTATGCCATTCATAAGGATTCCAGGTTCTTATCTATCACTGAATAAGATGATTTTCGTCCACTGGCCAAATTATAAATTATTTATACTCCAAAACAGTTCTCGAATTATCAATATTCTGTCTTTTCAGCAGGTATTGGTAATTAGAAGAGAGTCTGGATGGAGGAGGTTTTATTTGGCCAAGACGAAATATATTTCCTTGTATTTATTCAAGAGGCCCTCACTTTAGTTTACTGGATAATTTGGCCAAGATGAATTTATTTCCTTTTTACGCTTCACGTTCATATAATCCATATAAACTGATGTTGAATCCTGTTTAGAGAGGTGCAATGACCCCAATGGAGGTATGTGAGGGTCTTGGTCTCTATGGCGTGAGGAATCGGGTGTGGCACATTCAAGGAACTTGTGCTCTCCGAGGTGATGGTCTCTATGAAGGTCTGGACTGGCTCGCCAGTACTCTTAATGAACTACAAACTTCAAGACGCTCAACCTCAGTTGGCAGTTCATCGTTTTGATTCTAGAAGGTTCAACCAACCGCTCCTCTGGCACACATGCAAGCTGAGAATTCATCAGATTCGCGATGATGCTGCAACCAACCAACCACTCGCGAGGTGTATGATTTCATATGTTGCATGAATTGGTCTTGTTACTCGCTCCCCCGGTTGTCCTACCAAATGTCAGCGTTCAGTGATATTCTGGTATTAGGTTAGGACATTTGCTCCTGGGGAACCATTGTTTGAATCTTTGATGCATATCTGCAGCTTGTGTGAAAATGCAGTTTGAAGATGCATTTGTTTGCTATGGAAATAGGAATGATCTGTTTGGAGTAAAGGAATTTTGTGTGCTTATCTCCGATTTCCAAGTTTTCGCCTCACTCTATCTATAGACATCATTTCCTTCATGAGTTTTATACATCAGGGAACAATTCATTCATATAACATGGAAATGTTTCTTTCGATTAACCTCTCGTTAACAAATTTGGAGCCTAAACTAAAAGCAATTTTGATATCAAACTCGTTAGGCAAAATAATTACTAAATATTTACATTTCAAAAATGTGAAAAGAGCAATTTGAATTCTATTTTCAAATCATCTTCTCACTAGAATCCTTGCAAGTGCTACTAATTGTTCCTTTTTTATGTTCAACCTTACCTTACAATTCAATTATTATAACACTTCCGTGTGCTTTATTCATGAGGATCATCACCATGATGTATCTCGATACACATTTTACCATGTCACTCTTTGGCATTGAGACTCTCTCTCTCTCTCTCTCTCTCTCTCTCTCCATCAAAGGGTTAATTTGGTTAATTAGACGATTAGAAGAAAGAAAAGGATTAGTTTGACCGCGCGCCGTCGCACCCCCGAAATCCCAGTGTACCAACGTGTACCAACGGTCGAATTTTTCAAAAGAGAACCGCGCGGCCGCGCATCATTTTAGCTGTCCCAACGGTCGTATATTTCGAATTTAGAACAGAACAGGAAATTGCCCTAAATCCACCCTAGCTTTCCCCATATAATAATTTGGCCGCCTCCCTTTCTTTTCATCTCCGTCCCATCGCTGCCAGGAGCGCTACCAACACAAGGGAGAAGGTAAGGCCATACGCCACTGCCCGAAACCTACCCAAGAAGAAGAGGAGAGAGAGAGAGAGAGAGAGAGAGAGAGATGGATTTCCACTGCTTGCTCAGGAGAGAGCTCCAAGCCCTCTGCAAGAAGAACCGCATCCCCGCCAACATGACCAACGTCGCCATGGCAGACGCCCTCCAGTCTCTTTTCGCCGTATGATCTCCTCCCACCCTCCCCTTCCATTACTCTCTTTCCCTTTTTCTTTTTCTTCTTTCATCGTCTCACGGTTGTGTTGCCTCGAACTCGATCAGGTTGGTGGGATGGAGAGTATCGAGGAAGCGCTGCAGAATCAGTCCCCCAAGAATGTCCAGGCCAGCTCGGCCTACCTCCCCCGCTCCTCCCGCAGGATCTCAGCTCGCCGGGCGGCTGCGTCCACCGCCTCGGACGATCCCAAAGAGCAGCCGGCGAGCCCCCTGCCTCGTGCTCGTCGGGTGACCGCAATGGACTCCGAGACCGGGAGACTCTTCTCTGAAGAAGTAGATAGAGACGAGGAGCAGAAGGAAGGCATGATGGAGATCACACCCATGGCCAAGCCCAGCACAAAGAAGCAGCCTCGGGGCACCACAACAGCGAGGTACACCAGAAGAAGGGCGACCAAGAAAGAGGACGGCGAGGCGGCAGAGGAAGGTCTTATCGAAGCAGCCAAGACTCCAGCCCCTCGAAATGGCCGGAGAACGATGGCCAGGAAGGAAGCCGAATCCCCAGCTGTGGTGGACGAAGGAACAGAAGACACGGTCGTTTCATCAAGAACTACAACTCGCAGGGCGAGGCAGTCTTCAAAGTCGATCCCCGTGGATGTCACCGCTACAACCCTGAGGAGGAGTTCAAGAGCTAGGGCGAGGGTTTCTGTACCTGACATGGAAAGTTTGGCTCAAGATGTAGAAGAACAAGCGGAAAAAGGTGAAGATGATGGATGATTCATTTTTTCCTTGAATTCCTTTCTTTTTCTTTCTTCTGCTTTGTTTCTAAACTATACATCGTCTGTGTGAATTATAGGCATCGAAATCAAGAAATCTGTGGACACAGAGGGCGACTCTATGATTCCTCCTCCTTGCAAGAAGAGCTCGGATATGGCAGCGGGGAACGTCACTGATCTCAAAGAGATCCAAGACAAAACTGTGATTGATGGTGATAATTTTGAGCAAGATTGCAATCCGGTGGTCGCTGACAGCAATCTCTCTCAACACCATCACTCCTCGGAAGTTAAAGAAGATGGAGTCGTCCCAGAAACTGATGGAGTCGATGATGTGAAGGATGGCGACTCTTCGATTGCTTCTTGCAAGAAGACCTCGGATTTGGCAGAGGAGAACGCCACTGATCTCAGAGAGGCCGAGGGGATCCAAGACAACACTCTTATTGGTAGTGAAAATTGTGAGCAAGATTGCAGGCCGGTGGTCGTCGACATCGATCTTTCTCAACGCCAGCACTCCTCAGAAATCAATGAAGATGGAATTGTCTCAGAAACTGAAGGACTCGATGATGTAAAGGACGGCGATTCTTTGATTGCTTCTTGCAAGAATACCTCAGATTTGGCAACGGAGACGGAAGGGATCCAAGACGAGACCATTATTGATGGTGAAAACTGCGAACGAGATTGCAATTTGGTGGTCGTTGACACCGATCCTTCACAACACCAGCAATCCCCGGAAGTCGAAGAAGATGGAATCGTCCCGGAAACTGAAGGACTCAATGAAGTGAATGAGTCGGAAATTGCAGCCCAACAACACGACGTGGAAACAGGTAAACATGATGAAGGCTCTGTAGAATCTTGTTTCCTTTCCTTGTGCCCTGCTTGGTTTCTAATAAGCGATGATCTCTGTTTCCTAGGAATCGAAACTATGGATCTCGTGGATAGAGACGGCGCATTTTTGCTGCTTTCCGATGAGAAGCCATCAGATTTGGCAGCAGGGAATGCTTCTCATCTCTGTTCCATGGATTCACAAGAAGAGATTCTCCCTAGTGAAATTTGTGAACAAGGTTGCAATGTGGCCGACGACATCACCAATCTTGTGGCATCTTTGCTGCTTTCTGATGAGAAGTCCTCAGATTTGGCAGCAGCGAATGCTTCTCATCTCTGTTCCATGGATTCACAAGAGAAGCTTGAGAAAGAGTCCGGTGGAGATCAAGAAGAGATTCTCCCTAGTGAAATTTGTGAACAAGATTGCAATGTGTCCGTCGTCGACGCCGATCTTCCCCTGCATCAACTTGTCGCAGACCCTAAAGAACCTGAAGGATTCGACGTTGAATCATCGCCAAAGATGGAGGGAGGCTGTGTGGGAGACCAAATGGCCAACCAGGCAGACGACACCAATCTTCCCCTGCATCAACTTGCCGTAGAACCTAAAGAACCCGAAGGGTTCAATGCAGAACTATCACCACAGAAGAAGGGAGGCCGTGAAGAAGAACAAACGGCCAACCAGGCCGACCGTGAGTCATCTGTGCTAGAAGGGACGCCGCTGATATCTTCATTAGGGAACCCAGACATCACCGGAGATGCTGCAGATGAGCAAAGTCAGAGAGAGGAGGAAGAAACTGAGGATGAAATGCAAACTTATTCAGCACCAAAAAATGACGACGAAACCAGCGATGGAGATGAGACTGTTGCTGAGGTTGTTTCCTTCTCCCTTCCGCAGCAGAAGCGGACAAGCTTGCATCGATCAAACACCGTCGACCTACCTGCTGAATCCTTACCTGAAGTTGGAGATCTAATTGGAGACAGTGAAGTTTCCCCGGATGCGGTAACAGTTGAGGTTGTGGAAGCTGCCAAGTTATCCCAGGTTGGAGACGCCGAGGACAGTGTCGGAGCTCTGATGGCTACTGCGATCATCGTGGAAGTGGAGAAAAGTGAGAACCAGAAAGAATCTGATGCTGACGAGGAGAAGAAAAGTTTTGGCCAGTTGACCATGACAGAGATCGGATGTGCGGAAGCGAAGGTGGAATCTGATGCAGAGAAACAGAGTCTGCCTGTCGTAGACTTGCAAAATATGAGCTTGAGAAAGCTGAAGCTGCTCTACAAGGAGAAGAAAAGCAATGCCAAAGCCACCAATAAGGTAAGGAGATGGATGATTAGCTAATCTTTGTGAGAGTTAGATATGTTGGTTTGACCTTAGAATTTACATGTTGACCAGGTGGAAGGAACGAGACTGGCTCTCGCGGAGCTAAATGAGAACGTTCTGTAGTGAGGAAACCTGGAGCGAGATGTGGAGAACATGACTTACGTCTATGAGCCCATAAATAAGCAGTGATCGTCATTTTCTTTTTGGATTTTGTTATCTGATGATTTGATTCCATGAGTTTTTGTTCATTGGTGCTGAGAAACCATGGTTTCTTGTGCGCCTTCCATTTTTGTTGCTGCAGTGAATGCTATAGCTGAATCGAGTTGTTTCTTGTCAGATATGAATCTTTATTTGCTTTTGGTGCGATCGTGTCTTCATTTCAGATATGAATCAATCTCAGTGCTATTGCGACATATTGTTCGCTTCAATGGCATCGTAATTGGGCTCTGTGTGGGCCAATGTTTGTGGCCCAATGACAGAAGACTTAGTAGGCTCATTGAGCTGTGTTTGGACTCTGTTTATGGCCCAATTATAGTCGGCCAATTGGGCTGTATTTGGACTAATGCAGCCCAATTACCAGGGCGCGTGTTATAGACTCAGTGAACCTTCGTCGAACATTAGACTTGAGTTCGGCCGTCTCCCGTCTCCGCCGCCGACCTCCAGATTCGCTATCGCGGCATCCAAATGGCAGAGGAGAAGCAGCGATCGCTCCTTCTCGACTCCGCCTCCCGATTCCCTCTACCTCACGGTACGCGCGCCCCTCAACAACCCGCCCAATCGTGCGACATCAGATGATCTCTTCGTTTGGTTTCTTCTTCGACTGATAAAAGATCTGGTGGTTGGCTTGCCAGGGGCGCGTTTCTCGTACGGGACCGCCGGATTCCGATCGGAGGGATCCATCCTGGCGTCGACGGTGTACCGTGCGGGGGTCCTGGCGGCCCTGAGGTCGCTCAAGACCGGATCCGCCATCGGGTTGATGATCACCGCCTCCCACAACCCCGTGTCCGACAATGGCGTCAAGATCGCTGATCCCGACGGCGGAATGATGGTACAGCGGTGGGAGCCGTTTGCCGACGCCCTCGCTAATGCCCCCGACTCCGAGCACCTCCTCCATGTCGGTATCTTTGCTTCGATTTCGTTTCTTTCTCTGATTGGGATAATTATAATGCTCGGCTCGATTGATTTTTTGTGTCTATTTCGACTGGTAATGCTACCACGTTTGTAGTACTTCTTGACGAGAGTTTCTGTAGACAATGAAAAAGAAAGTGAAGATTAAGCTACAATCCAGATTTTGTAGTACTTCTTGTCAAAGTTAGCAAGTTCTTGAAGTTCCATCCTTCTCCCTAAAGCTCTGCTATGCTGCAGCATCATCTCTTTCTGCTGGTATGCTTGCAACCCTAATGTGTTTTCCGTTCAGTTGGTGGTTCGATTTGTGGAGGAAGAAAATATACCATTTGGAGGAGTGCAGTCTGCGGAGGTGTTGTTAGGAAGAGACACCAGACCGAGTGGAGAAGCTCTTCTTGAAGCTGCAAAGCATGTACGTACACTCAAATCAACTTCAGTAAATACCACCACATTTTATGATGGTAAGATTTGTGTTGGAGGTATGCAGCTAATTTGCTTTGCCTCAAAGGGAATCAATGCTATAATTGGTGCGGTTGCAATCGACATGGGAGTCTTGACAACCCCACAACTACACTGGATGGTTAGAAGCAGGAACAAGGGCATGGTGGCATCGGAATCTGACTACTTGGCTCAAGTATCAAAATCTTTCAGGTCTGTGCTGAGTGTCTAATGTTCAACTTAGAGTAGAGGCTCACATATTGTTGGATCAAGAATCACTGTTTTGGCTGCAGGTGCCTGATGGACCTGGTTCCCAGAGAACGGATTGCCGATTCATTGGATACGGAACTCGTAGTTGATGGAGCCAATGGTGTTGGTGGAGACAAGCTTGAACAGCTCAAGAAAATGGTGACAGGGTTGGATATTTCCGTGAAAAATACAGGTAAGAAAGGAGAAGGGATGCTTAATGAAAGCTGTGGTGCTGATTATGTGCAGAAGGAGAAGGTTGTTCCATCCGGCTTTGGGCCTGACTACGTAGGAGTAAGGTGAGGCCATGTGCTATTTGCGTTTGACGTAATTGTTCCGCGGATGCTGAAATTTATATTCAACTCAATTTCAACTGCTTAGGTGGATCTAGTGTTTCAGGTGTGCAAGTCTGGATGGTGATGCCGATCGGCTTGTGTATTTCCTCATTCCGTCTGCAAGCAGCAAGAACATTGACCTAATTGATGGAGACAAGATATTGTCCCTCTTTGCAGTTTTTATCAAGGAACAATTGGATGTCCTCTACAAGGGCAGTGATTCAAATAACAAACCGCCTGTAAGGCTTGGCATCGTGCAGACGGCATATGCAAATGGAGCATCAACAGCGTACCTCAAGCGGCTAGGCCTAGAGGTTGTGTTTACTCCCACTGGAGTAAAATATCTGCACAAGAAAGCTGCAGAGTATGACATTGGGATATACTTCGAGGCAAATGGACATGGAACCGTACTGTTCTCAGAAAATTTTCTCTCTGGTCTGGAGTGTTGGAGCAATGAACTTGCCTCTGCATCTTCAGGTGCACTGGCGACCTTATATGCTACTTACCGGTTAACCAAATCGTCGCTCAGTTTCATAAATGTTGTTACTGTTTTTAGTAGGTTCCGAGCAACACAAAGCTGCTTTAAGATTGCTGGCGGTCAGTCAACTGATCAATCAAGCAGTAGGAGATGCTCTTAGTGGGTTGCTATTGGTGGAAGCTGTATTACAGTACATGGGATGGTCAATCAAAAGGTGGAATGAGCTGTACCAAGATCTGCCTAGCAGACAGCTTAAGGTATGATAAATGCCATGTATGCAAAAAGAAAAATTCATGTGTACGTAAGAATATGTGTATATATACACATATTAAAGATCTGTTTAAAAAATCTTTTCTCCTCACATTTCTGGATGCTCAATTCTTTCGTCTGTGCACTTTCTAGGTAAAAGTTGCGGACCGAAATGCTGTTGTTACAGCAAATGCAGAAACACAAGTTGTGAAGCCATCAGGTCTACAAGAGTTTATAGATGCGGAATCAGGTAAGCAACTTTGCTCATGAGTTGCTTTTTACCTTTTCTAATAGCATGTTCAGTTGTTTTAATTCCTTTTACCTCTAATTTGGGTATTGCATTTCATTGCAAATATAAGTTGCATATAAATTGGGCCTGCATTACAGCAGCAAATGCAATGCTGTCTGCAAGACCACCTGCATGAAATTTTCTGTGGGTGGTATTTGTAGGTTGTGGCTGCAGGTTATAATGACAGATGAAGGTACAACTCCTATTATTTGGTAGTTGCCTGTGATTTAAGCACCCTACGGTCCCATTTCCAGTCAACCAAACACACCCTATCTTTGCCTACATCATATATTTTTCGAGATTGCTATCAACTCTGAGAACAATTAGTACACTAAAACCCTACTTCGTTGACAAACTTTACATATTGATCACACCTACATGATGTATTTTTCAAGATTCCTATGACTATGAGAACAATTAGTGCACTGAAACCCTACTTTGTTTATAAACTTATCATCCAATTATTGCTGCTCATTTTCCTTCTTTTGGAATTGTTACAGGGAAGCACCCTCACGGCCGATGTTTTATCCGGCCATCCGGTACAGAGGACATAATTCGTGTGTACGCCGAGGCATCCACGCAGGAAGCAGCTGACAGTCTTGCCCGATCCATAGTGCAACTTGTCGATCGTGTTCTTGGATCCGGCAATTCTCATCAGTAGACTGGTTAAAATTGTTGTTCGGAAAGCTCTTGTTGAAATTGTTAACTTAATAACTTTTCTTAAATCATTTCTTGGAACAGTTTGATCCTATGGTTATTCCATGTACTGTAGTAGTACGGAAAAGGTGTTTGAAGCATCCAGGCTTCTCTTCCACCTAAATGTTCGTAGTAACTTGGTAGACAGAATTCACCCTCGTAAAGAACTTTTAGGTGTAAGCGGGGCTGTACTCGGATCTGGGAGAGTCCTCACCAGGGTTTGGGGGCGGAAAGGCGACGACTTGAGCTTGGAATTGGAGCATTAGATTCGCCTTCGTCGCCTCTCCCAGTCAGCTACCTCCGAGGGAGAGAAACGGGGGAATGCATTTTACGGAGACGACGGCGGGTGGGGGATGATGGTGTGGCAAAAGATGCGCTCCTCCGCATCACCATCTGATTCCAGATCGAACGGCTCAAGATGATGCAAGCGGAAGGAAGCCAAAATTGGAAGCCGCCATAGAATTCCCAAAATAGGGAAGCCAACAAATTAGGAATATTGGACTGCATATTGAATTTTAAATTTGATTTCTGATTTTATTGCTTGTTATGAGGAATTATATAAAAAAAAGAATATATTTTTTAAATGTTTATTGTTTCTGGTTATATTTCCGTAACGTCTCGAGGTGATGAGGAGGACACCGTAAAGAATCTACGGAACACCCAAACAAAAAGCCGCAACAAAAGACTCGGAAGCAATACGGGAAATTAATGCAGCACTCTAAAGCCATTGACATCGCTATCCTCTCTCCAATAGGACGCCATACCGATGAAATCGAAAGCCAAACTGAGAAGCGGCAAATGGATTCCCGTACATGCAATCCATAGACACACATACTGCTGCTTATTACTCGCTGGTGGCAGCAACAATAATAATGCTAACTATTGCTGCTATTTATTCCCGCGGCGGCGGCTGGCGCGGTGTGCCGGCCGTGTTCAGGCGTTGGGCGGCTTGTCGACGTCCTCTAGGGGACGAAACCACACGGTTTGGTCCAGGGCGGACGGGCCGCTTACAGGGGCAGTCGCTGCCTTTCCGCCGCCGTTAACGGAGGCGCCGCTCTCGTCGGCGGGGCCGAAGACGCCGGTGGTGGGGTGGGGTCCCCAGTACTTGTCGGACTTGGCGTCGATCACATGGTCCGGCACGCGCGCCTCCTCCAGCTCCTCCACGTTCTTATCGTACGACGACGATACGTGCACTCTCCTCTCGCTGCACGAGATAAAAAAGCGGAAAGGACACGCGTCAAGTGGAACCATCGTGTTTGCTGCCTCACCGAACACACGGAAATATTCGATTCTTTTATTTATTGTCGTGAAAGCCAACGAATAAAACTCGGGAGGCAGCGCCAAAAGGGTCACGTGCTACAGCAAACGGATATGCTATTGGCACCGAACCGCACGTGTACGGCGCGAATAAGGTGAATGCGGGGAGTACTTCTCCAGCCTGTCTAATAAGCCTGCCTTGCAAAGCTTCCGATCAACCCATACAAGAATGTTTACTTCTGATCTCCGGAGATAGTAAATAGACTATATATTGGAACAAAACTGGATTTTCATGATTACTGGATGGAATAAAAATAAATATAAGGAAAATATTTAATGATATATTTGGACGCCAAAATCTCATTCTCGACGGAACGCGAAGAAGGTAGCTTACCTCGAACGAAAAAACTCGAGAGCGGCAAATGAGCCCATTTCGGCGGACGAGCAACAGTAGATAAAAACCGGCATGAGAAAGAAGAGGTAGACAGGCGACTACCTGTAAGAAAGCGATGGCAGGGAGGCGACGGCGGCGACGCGCTCCGCGGGATCTCGTGCGGCCCAGATCTGGTTGACGAATCGCTTCCCGAAGCCTGAAGCGAGCGCACGACCATTGGCTGCCATACAAAGAAGAGAGGAAGAAAAGAAAAAGGAGAGAAAAGAGGAGAGAGAGGGCCGCCAGGGGAAAGAAATCTCGCTTCGGTGCTCCCACCTCTTCTCGCACATATAACATGCCACATGGAGAGCCCCCACCCAGTAACGACCTACCTCAGTTTCTTGCTATGGACGACATCACCTAACGTCTAGTAAACTACCACCAGCGGCAGCCACCTCGGCACCTACGTAGTTGGGGGCCCAGTAGAAGTGAACAAGTTCACATGAGAAAATAGACATTACCGGACAAATTTGAAGCCAGCCAGCAAACTTTCAACGGTCTATGAATTTATCCATTTATCTGAGCACATATCCTCTCATGTTTGAAGAATTTGTGATTCATGCAATCGACTCAAATAAAGAATCCATGCGTGGTGCATAATATATGACAGGAGTATACTAGAACAAGAGAACCCGTATACATTTCTTTGTTTTATATTACCCAGAAAGACTAACTTACAGCCACTTTTCTGTAAAACGGTTGAGGGGTTAGCAAGCAATATAGGAAGGTATGACTTCTTTGAGAGAAGCACTTAATATAAACTAATATGGCTTCTTCTAAAAGCAATCGGGTGATCCACTAATAGACAAACTCCTTAGTCTTCTGAAAGTAATATTCTAAATCGAGTCCTTTTCCTTCTGACCGTACATATGAAAAAAAACACAAAAAACAGACCTTGCCACCGTTGGCTGCTGCTCATCAACCTAAGCCTGTTTTGCACGATGCAGGCTTGATGCCTCGTCTGAAGACGGGGGAAGAACTTGGACTAACTTCCCTACTCTCTTGTAGCTCATATAACAGAAATGGCATTGCACCAGGCGGCGGCCTGCAACAAAGAATGAAACGGAGGCAAACAATTTGGGCACAGCTACTTTAACTAGACAAGAAGTGGTACAGCTGAAATTTACATATTCGAAATGCCCATCTTGGGGTGGGTGATCTAGCCTATCCTTCTAAAAATTTGGATCACCTAAAGGTTAGTGGTTCCATGATTTAATGATGATCATGTACAACGAACAAAAGAAGAGAAAAAAAAATTTCACGGGGGTTTGGGGGACGAACGACACATCCAAAATTGGGGCCGACAGAATCTTCTAATTTGCACTGTACATTGCAGTAGTAGCCTTCAAGACTCAGCCATTGAGCTTTTCCAAGAACTGGTTTAAATTGTATTCATTTTCATACTGTGATTGATCCCATAACTCCCCAAGTCCATTGAGAATGGCTTTCAACCCTCTCCCGGTGACGGCCAACTTTGGATCTTTGTCCGTGTTGCCAGCAGAGCTGTTTGAAGCCGAAGTTCCCTGTAGCACAGTTTTCTTTTTTCAGACACATAATAACACGCATCTTTGCATCTTATAAACTAAAGGAAAGATAGATAACCAACAAATTTAACAAGAAACAAAAGCAATTCCACAGAGAATCCAAGTGTGAATGGCGAGTGACGTCACCATTTGGATTGTTGGTGAAGAAGCAAAAAGATCAAGCAACTGGTCTGTGTTCATGGTTTTCAGACTCGCATTCTCTGCATTTATAACAGCATTAGCAACTGTAACTTTAAACTTCTGCAGGCTCATGACTTTCTCTTCTAAAGTGCCACGCATGATCAGTCGATGGACATTAACAACTTTACGCTGGCCCAACCTGTGTGCTCTGTCCATTGCCTACATATCAAAACAAATTAGCAACCGAGTGAAAGTAAATATGCTTATAATATGAACTGAGATATGAATGGTGACAAAATGTGTGCATGCAGAAAATTCAAGAAATATTCAGCTTCTCATGTAGAAAGATATAACAGAAATTGCATTCTTCGATGCACATCCATAACAAGTCACGGATTTCTTGAGGATCAATTAGATAAAATTTTAGCAAAAGTCAATGCAGTTCAGGACCAAACTTTGCCATTCTGTACAGTTACCAAGTAAAGCATCACTTCTAGCACTATCACATAGACCAGTCAGTATTCAGAAACACCTGGCACACTCAAAACATACATTTCATCCTCGAGTCATTTGAAAATAGCAATTATCTTAATATATCTTATCATTTCCATAACGAAATGAATCACAAACGAGACATGTTTGGCAGAACCTAAGTTGTGCTATTCCTAAGAATATTAAGGTGTTTGTATATTACTAATGCCAACATAAGCAGACTAGGTTGACCAAATAATTGACCATTAAGCTTCTGATCTCATTGCTAATGTTCATCGAACTTCTTTTAAGGCCCCCATGTTGGTTCTTTTGCCACTTAACTCCCCTCATTCATATCTTTCATCTTGTATTTTACACGTTTTGTACAGAAATTTGTCGGGTGCGCAATATAATGTAAAAGGGATCTACGCAGAGCCCAAAGGGAAACAAATATCTACTATGGGCATTTTTCCAGGAAGCATGTAATGTAAGTCGTGAATTAATTTTAAATAGCAGTGTGTAAATTCAGAAATATCAACTTAATTCTTGAGCAGAATACATGTAATGTGCCTGATAAAACAGATGATAGATACAAATCTAGTGGATCCCTTGATTGTTAGCACTACAAACAATACAGTTTAGAATGATAAATTGAAGTTAATAGACAAGATAAATAAATACCCTTTTCAGCCCAAACACCTGAAAATCATGCAAATTTGTTTTGTTCTAACTTTGAACCATGAGTTTTTTGGGCGACAATCATCTTACCATCAATGCTCAAGAACAGTAAAAAAATTCTGAACCTTCAACTACCGGGACACTGCCTGGTTTTTACTACATATATAGATGCCAGAATTAAAAGATTGCAAAAGAAAGGGCAGTTAAAAAATGACAACGTAAATTCAAGAAGAATCTAACATGACAAACAACAGATAAAACAAGTATACTTACATGCTTGACAATGAAGGCATAACTTCATGCAGTTGAAGCATGATCCGCACAGTAATGAACACTCTCGGGAAGATTAATTTGTTATGATTAAGTAATGTTTAATATGATGCACAGAGAAACAAAAGCAATATAACAACAAGAAAAACAGCAGGATTATTATAACAGTAGAAACATCCAGCAATCTACAGGCAAAGGAATATAGTAAAGAAAACACATCCAACTCTATGCAGATATGCAAGTAAATAACCTGGAGATCCTTCATAGGGTTCCAGTCATGCTCCACAAAAACCAGTGTATCAGCTGATGTAAGATTCAATCCAAGTCCACCAACTGCAAATAACACAAATCAGTAACTTCCAAGCGAGTGGTAAGCAGAGCCATCTAGCCGCAAAAGACTGGTAAACGAGAGAAGCTAGCATATCATGAGCATACTTACCATGAGTGGTAAGCAGCAGAACATCAATTGTCGGATCGGAGTTGAATGCTTTTACAATTTCATATCGCTTTTCTGGTTCAACAGAGCCATCTAGCCGCAAGTATGTCACGCTGTTGCATAAAACAATCATGCATGCTTGTCAAGATTAGGAACACAATATCAAAGTTGAAGCACCAATCATATAAAACCATAAATAACAATTCAAAATATCACACTACTATATCATCAATGATAACCACGTCCCTGCATTATCTCGACTTAGATTATATATCTCAGATGGAAAAGTAACATGCCAAAAAGTGCACAAACTAAAATATAAATAATGCACAAGGGAAAAATGCAAAGGGATATATCAATCTTTAAGAGCAATAGTTAGGAATTTCTGCCCCACCTTAATGATTTGGCTTAATTTTTAATTAGACTGATTATGATAAAAAAAGCTCCCAGTTCATGTGCAAATGGGCTTCGTTAGAAACCACATATAGAATTGGTGTTTTTCTCTAGACACTTGCTCCAATATCATCTCAAGAATTTTGCCATTATTTTATTAAAACCTGTACTTGGTTTGAATTTTGATAAAGATGTGTACTGTATAAGAAATAGATCTAGGATGAGTTCAAAGCCATTAACAGTTCAACCAGATTTTAACCCATGATTTGGTAGCAACAAATTACTACATGATAGGCAATGTAAATATTAAAAAAAGGATTATTTATGATTCTATATTTATTCAGAGGAATTATTACCTAACCATACATCAGTAAAAGAAATTAATTACTGTCAATGTCAGAGTAAATAAATACAACTTACTGTAACATGCAAATAGTTTCAATTAAAAAAAAGATCATATCTTGGTGATAGTGCATGCTAAGCATCAAATCTCTTGTTCTAGCCACCGACAAGAACAGGAAGATGATTGATCCTTTAATACAGATTGTTAGGTCACACTTTACTGTTCAAGCAGTCAAATAACAGGATTAGCAAATGTAAACTCTAAAATCATAGTACCACAGACAGCATCCCTTCCTACATACGTATCCATCTTTTAGTCTGATGAGTCATTACGGAAATTATATCTAATCTTCAACCAGAAATACTTTTCCTGCAAACTAAGATAGCAATTCACCCCGATAGCATGTTTGTCTTTTAAGCACACAACTGAACATTTACATGACATAAACAGAAGCATTAAATTCAGATGCATCACAATTTAAAGTGCAGCCTTTCCTCTTCCAGGACTGCTTCTCAACCCAGGTTTATCAAGCACAAAAAAAGGAGGCATTTTGGTTCTACAGATTCCTCTCCATCGTCTATAACCATGTATAAACCCTGGGTATTGGACCGACGACATGAGGAATGACGCACTAGATTTAGAACCATCCAAGATTTAGTACATTACAGAAGCAATAAATTAAGATGCATCAGAATAATTTAGAACAATTTAAGCACATTTGAGATATGCATATCTGTAGCTAAAATTATAGCATGACTCAAGGGTGGACTTTGTTTTGACCAAGGTGACTGAGGTTTAAATCATAAAAATAAAATATATTCTTGCAGGGGCAAAGGTGTATAGCGTAAACCCTCCTGGTTCCTGTATTAATAAGAGCCTCATACACTGGCCATTCTTGTTTTACTTGCCGTAAAAAGCTATATGAAGTAAAAGGCCAAGAATTATATGAAAAATCTCAACATGTATGTCTGCCAACTAACCATGGCCACAATATCACTC